ACAATGCAACGTTCAGCTGTTTCTTGCCAGATGATCAGAGCAAATTAAGAATAGATTCAGAACCTGCTGTACTTATTAAGATGAAGTCTCACATGGCCTGTGGTGAAATTGGGTGACTCAGACTCAAATATAATACTCTGTCCTCTGCAGCAGAAATAACATCCCTGTGTTTGGCAGAAGATTCAGAAGAAACCTACTCCTTCCAAAAGTTTTGCCTGGATATCACTTGGTTATGATTGGCTGCCTATACCAATTACCCTTTGCATCATGAAAAAGAGAAGGTGAGAACCCAGAAGTTAATTATCATTTTGTCACTTTACTTTTGAGCTAGACTACCTGTACTTATTGAGCAGTGAAACCCACCCCTTTCAGCTTGATCCCAATTTGTGCTGCAACTCGTGTGTGTTTATGTATATGTAAACACACACACACACACACACACACACACAGATAGATATATATATATATATATATATATATATATATATACACACACACACACACAGTCACATCTGTATCCCTCAATTTAGCATATGAACTCGGGTTGCTGCTTTGAGTTCTGGTCTGTATGCAAGAAGCTGCTGCTAGTTTCTGAATAACCTAAGAAATTCAGGACACCTGTTAGGTACTAGATAAACTAAAAAGGACTTCAGTGACCAAGATGGCAAGGACTTAAATTCTGAATTCTCCAAAGGCTTGCTGCTAAGCCACACAAGTGAAAGGGGAATTGGTTCCTAGGCATAAAGGCTGGAAAGGATTACACCTTCACTGCAGTCTACGAGTACAACTGTAAAAGTACTCACAGTTGGGAGAGGTTAAGCAACTCGCCCCACTCTGTCACAGTTCATCTTGCCAAGGTTTTGCCTTCTGGGAATCTTCATGTGAAACAAATAAGAAAAAAAAACAAACAACTCAGTCATAGACAGCAGGCCACAAAAAGCCAATTTTCTAACAAATACAAAATCTGCATTCTGTGATTTGGGAGAAACCTTACACTCAGGGCCAGGTTAATGCAAGAAAGTGACCTCTAGGGGTGAGGAAAAATGAGAAGCAAGTTTTAGTTCAAATTTTTCTGTTGTACTTTTAAAAACACACTATTAATGTCATTAAAGCAGGAGAAGAGATTAGCATGATAGCAAATAAATGCAAGTATCAGAGTAACTGAAGTTCTAAGATATTTATTTTTGAAGCACCACCTATAACCCTGAGCCCATATTCAAGTGCAGTAACCTGAAGGTGATGGAAGTAATTCAAAGTGGGCTCCACATGGACAGGCCTGCACCTTGCCTAGAAAGAACACCCAGAATTTCAGTCCCACTCAGGTTTCCTATTAGCTGCTGATCCAACCTGCCATCACACAAGCAAAGGAGCATGCTGATGCCAAAAAGTGAAAAATCAAGTGAACACTACTGGATGCAAGTCCCATGACAGCTCCACAGGGACCCACAGAAGCCCTTGGCTGCTGGAGCGCTGAGACAAGACATCATCCCAACCCTCACAGGCGTTTTTTACAAGCACAGCAACCAACTGACTCTTGAGAGAAAAAAAAAAAAAAATTACAGCCATGAGCACAAAAATGCCAAACTTCAGATGAAACCATAGGCAGTGGAAAAAACAGAAGATTGCTCAGGCCAAAGCTTCTAGGTACCTTACAAATTACATATGCCCAGGTACTATGTGGGAAGTGATCCAGCAGCTGACCAGCTCCACATCCAGCCGCAGCAGCCCTGGTGCTCAACAGAGGCAGAGGGGGAGAGCAGCCCCCTCGTTCCCACCTGCAAATGCTGCTCAGCACACAGTACCCTCCGGGCTGAGGTGGCTCTTCCCCTCCCTTTTTATTTAATCCCAACACCAGATTTTCACTTCTCTTCATAGTTTTCCAGTCAACTCAGTCTTGCTGCACTTCGCCTTCTTCACATTTTTACCATTACCCCATCCCACATTCCCCTTTCTATAGCACCTCAATTACACCCTGCATTTCAATTATGTGTCATCACTTGGTGTCCTATTTCTTTTCAAAACAGAACCATCTTTCTGACTTTGCATTTCTCTTATTTAATCTGTAGCCAATTTTTCATACACAAAGGCCTTTGCTCTTTTGTAGATGAAATCTCTTCAAGCTCTTGAATGCAGCCTTCTGCTGGTTTATGCTAACAGGTATTTTTTAAAGTCTCACTGGCATGCAGATATACCTTCTCCAAGGGAAAGAAAAAAAAAGATTCATTTGTATTTATTTACATCTGGAGAGTTATTTAACAGCCACAAGCAAGGATATTCTATGGACGTGTGTACATACCCTTATTGTATGGTACAGAATACATATATCAACTCTCAACCAGAAAGACAGTCCCTTACAATGTAAAGGTGCGGTATAAAACATTAATAAAGAGAGTTCTTAATTGTCTTCCACTTCTGAATGGCTGGAAAAGCCTGGAGTGAAGACTGTAATCAATCACCAGGAAGGAAATGTTTCTGCAATCCCACCTAAGTTTGACACGTTACCTGGTGCATCAGCCTTTTAACAGCATTCCAATGTGTACTGCCATATAAGTCTAAAAAGGAAGTCAGTTTAGTGTCCTCCTCTGCCTGAAACAAATAACTGGACCAAAGGGAGTATTGTGTAAATGTGGCTAAGTATTTGTCAGCCGCTTTTATAAGAGAAGAAGGGAGACAAACCATATCCCCAGTAACATCATGAGGTGAACAAGACATCCTTAAAATCCTCTAGGTAAGTACATCATCAAAAGAGACTTTCAACACATTTTTGACAGCTAATCTTCTGATGCAGGAGATGAGAAGGTTCCCTGAAATACATCTAAAGAAAGTTTGGCTCTTGTATTCATAGCTTACAGAGCTGTGAAAGTTTCACTGCAGCAGAAGGGTAACTGGTATACTTCACCAAGAGAGAAATACAGAGGAAAAAAATAAAAATAAACCCAAAGCATCAGCTGATGATGTTAATTAATTCTTTCCTTATTCCAAACTGGAAACTAACCAAAAGAAGGGAACAACCAACATCTCATAGCAATTGAGTTTAATAAACTCTGAAGCAGCAAGACACGTAACACGACGTTAAGGTTACTGGACATGAGGCTGAAGCGCACCAGCAGTTAAATCCTCTCCTCCACCCTCCTCAGCTTTAAGGATGACAGTCAGATTTTCAACTCAGCATGGCAGAAAAATGTAGTTCAAGGTTACCAAAGCCCCAGAGGACGCAGATGCAAACCTTCTAGCCAACTCTCTACAGTCCCTCTGCAGGCATGGCAGGCTGCAAGAGGAGGGCAGGAGGAAGAACCCGTACCATTGTGTGGTTAGTTTAGCAGAGAGCAAAACAAACCCAAAACAGACTTGCTGTAAAGGTTAGGACAAATCATGAAATAACGTAATCTAACCTCCTATATAATATGTAGGCCATAACATTTCATTCAGACCAGAGAACACCACTGTTACAGATTCTGGGCCTCATCATCTGATGGGATTGTAAACAGTCTTCCTCAAACAGTAGTCTCCAACAGCCCTAAATATCCCTGATTTCATTTATACCATCTTACACCTACCTAATTTTGAACAGCACTTCTCATATGAACAACCTCACACATCAGTTACAGAAGAAACCTGCAGCAGCCAAACGTTCCCAAGTGTAAACATGAGGTCAGCCAAAATCTGAGGCAGTGTGGCACTGGCACAACCACACACGGTGGATTTGCATTGTTATTCTAAGGATATTATGCCAGAAACACATGCAATAACCATCAAAAATGGATGGTAGAATCCCTTCTGGAATTTCCTAACTGGCAAGACATACAGCAGTAGGTGCATCTTAGTGCATGGAGTAGGTTAGCAGTTCAACTTAGAGGCAAAAGAAGTCTCAAAGCAACCTGTGAAAATGACACCACCTTCCCTGCTACCCATTCATCTTTTTCCCACCCTATTAACCCTTCCTACACGCAATGGAGGCAAACCTCCACCGCAGTGTGTCTGGCAACAGCCAGGGCACTCATGAGGCGCTGCTGGAGGCTCCGGCTCCAAATCAGGCACAACAGCAACTTGGATCTAAGCCTCCTGTCTTTTATAAGACACCCCAGCTATTATTTGCCTATTCCTGGGAGGCACTTTAGGCACATTTTGATCAGAAATTCTGTCCAAGACCCTCAGACACTTTCTTCTACCAAGAAATTGTTTTCCTTTCCAAGCAGTTTTTCTCAGTACATCTGTTGTTTGGACACTGCATCTCTGGTAGAGGCACACAAACCCCAAACATCATAACAGAATCGAGACAATAAATGTTCGAGCTCATTAGGGCTAGAGAGAAAAGATGAAGCTTTTCAATTTCAATTCCATATAAACTGAAGAGGAAGCAAAGCAGGCAACAAAAATGTCACCTTAAAACCATGCTGTAGGAGCTGGACTCAGCCCTTGACTCTGATGGGTGTCCTCATTCCCTAGTAGACCAAAATAAGTAAGCAGAATATACCCACTTGATGCAAGTGATTGGAAATACTGATGTTGTACAACTTACTATCCCACAAAATAAAAAAAACATGCTCAATTTGAGAAGGGCACTTTTTTTAAAACAAAAGGTGCCAATTTGTTCTAATGAACCTATTTCATTGCCCTCACAAGAGATAGGAGTGCTGTCCCAGCAGGGACTTTTATCTTTCCAACCAATAAATGGAGCATTTCTTCATGGAGATATAAAAGTTGAAGTAATCAGCATTTCTCATTTTAAAGTAGAATCTATTTTTATTCAACACAGGACAGTAAATGGATAAAATTCACAATAACCAGCATTAAAAACCAACACACAAACCCTGCAGTCATATTTAAATTTGGCTCTACCTACTGGTCACTTGCATTTGTACACACAAAATTTTGCATCAGTCTTGTTCATTTCCAGATTAACGGATATTGACACCGGATGCTAACAAAACACCGTTTATTCACAACTTGGGGGACCTTTAGGGCTGTTAAGAAAGAAAAGCAAATCTTTTATCTTTTTGTCCTACAAATTTGTAGCTGGGAGGAACTGAAATGCTGTACATTAGCAAGGAAGGAGGTATCGGCACAGTAAGAGTCTTAACTCCCACCTACAATTGATGGAAGGATTCATCTCAACACCTCCAACACTGTCATCCCATATCCGAGTCATTGCAGTGCAAAAGCTATTCAAATAAATAAATAAATAACAGCAGCAGCCCCAACAAGTAAAACATGTAAAACCCAAACCACTGTTACATATCTTTACAACGTGTAACTGTTAAATACAATTGAAAGCATTTTAACCTAAGACTTCAGCCCACAGGGAAAATTTGAGCGCAGTAGAGTTGAAATTACTTTGATAAGCTAGTATGTAGATCTGCATACCTTTTTTTGGGGATTGGCATCTTCAGCTAAAGAAGTCCTCCATCCTTCCCTCTTCACACAGCCATTGAAGTTGTGCCAATACAGCTGGTTTGGGGTTGCAATGTTATTTTTCCCCCCTGAGAGGCTAGATCAGTCCCGGGTCTGGCTAGCAGTCCCTCAGAGTTGGCCTGGTCGAGTGAGGGGCAGTGTGCCATGCCACCAGGATGGAAGTCCTTTCAAGTAACATTGCTGCAGAATTCTGTCACATTTAACTACAGCCTAAAGCCCATGCACAGCACAGATTTATGAAATCACATGTTGAGCATCACCACCGGTCTCAACAGGTTTACTCAAAATCTGTGAAGCTACCATTCAAGCTAGGTAACTGCAGGATCAGAGCCTATGTAGAGCATTCACTTGCAAAGATGTGGTACCTTCCTTAAGTCTCTGTGGGACTGAAGTCTCCCTTGTATCTCTGTTCAGCAAAACAGTTAAAAATGAACACATTTTTATACTGTTCCAAGCCAAGCATAAAGCATGTGCTGAATCAAACTCGTGAAATAACTCATCAAAGACCAAACAGTTACAGAACAGTCCTGGAAATTAAGTGTTGTGTCAGCACATGGAACACAACACCAACAGCTGATGAGACATTTCTCAATGTTTTGCAGGACTATTTTTGAGCGTGCTGTTTTGTCAACCAAGCGTAAAGACTACTGCATTGTTTCACAAAACTTAGAGCATAGTTCAGAACAAGACATATGCCTAGAGCTTTAATAAATACAGTTAAGAATAATACAGTTTATCTAGCCTTTGTAATCTAAGTATAAACACCTCATACAAAAAATTTCCTTTTCACTTTGTACATCTTTTAAAAAAAAAATCACAGATACATCTGTTTAACAAAGGAGAGAGCTGTACAAAGAAATTGTATGTTCTGAAGACATTAAACCGTCTATTTGCTGAGTAACACTAGTTACAGAAATTTCTCTTACAACCTACCACCTAGGCCATTTTTCTTTACTGATATATTGGTTCCAAATCTAAAATTCAGAGCCACTTGAAATTAGCCACTTCATTTCTGGTTATTAAGGTCTCGATCAGACAGTGACTTCCACTTGTACACACCAGCACCAAAATCAGGGAGTACCCAGAGATAACTGTGGCAGCAGGCACTAAAGAAGCTCATCTGTTCAATCCTGTAGTGCTCAAGTATGAAAACTCACAGTTCTCTGCCATCACAAAGGAACAACCTCTCCTTTCAACCCAGTTTAGTGGAGCAGCACAATTACATGACATTTGCACAACCAGCTTATAATGCCCTGAAAATCATCAGAGCCCCCCACTAGAAATCCTGACTCAACCTACTTTTTGTTGCTTAGGGACTCCTTTTTGGACTATCCTAAGTGAGGACTAACATCCATCCAGAGAGTCTGTGAAAACTGCTAACTGCAGTACGCTGCAGCAGTGAATTTCATTTCATTTCATTTCAATACCTACCAAAAGGCTGGATGTTGTTATTGGGATTAGAACTAGTACTGTAGACAAAACCTAGTAATGTGGTGAGGTTGTTATTGTCTGAGCAGCTTCAAAATACTAATAGCAGTGCATCTTAATAACCAGCTGGTATTATCCTCTATGAGGTGATGCCCTCCACGTGTGCAAGATGACGTAAGGGATACATAATTTGCTCACCGACACTGGGACATTTCACTGCTAGACTGTTATGATTTCAACCTTCTTCTACTCTAGCTTTGACTTGTTTTTGAAAAATACACAGTTTGGCATTTTAATTAAAAACATCCTATCAAAAGAAATAAAAAGGCACTTGGCATTTCTCTTTGGCTCAGTTGAGGCGCACTGCTAAAACCTTCCCACAGTTCCTGTCTCTTTATGTGATGAATAGTTGCCATCCTGAGGTACTTATTTATGTGCAAAGATAAGAGCTTCAGGGATTCACCAGTTGCATTTCTCACATCGCTTCCAGTAAACATGCAAAGTTCTTCATCAATCGGAATCTGTTACATACAGAATAACGCATTCCATGCGGTTTGTTTTCCAAGGAAGAGCTTTGATTGCTGATGCAGTCCTTATTCCAAATCTGGTCTCATAGCTCAGTGTTCCTTAAACCTGAGAAAGAACAGCAACCAGGCAGGAAAAGTTGAGGTGTGAGCCTTAACAGTCACTAACTTCAAAATGCAGGATCCATCCCTTGCCATGCATTTTTCTATTCTCTAGCCATTTCATTTGTCCAAAATTACAACAAAGGGGCTTAATTTAGATTTTGCATATGCAAGTGTAACCCCACTGATTCAATTCAGTGGATTTTTTTCTCAATTCAAAACACTATAATTCAGAGCCACCTTTTCCTTTAAGACGACCTTCAGGAAAAAGTTACATTTGAAACTATTAATAAACACAGAGCAAGCAACCAAGTAGCTTCTTATTCCCCACCTGCATGCTCCATGATGAAACCCAGGAAGATTACAGGTTTCAGGGAAAAATAAAATAAAATAAAATAAAAATCAAACTGTAGCCAAGAGACTGTGACAGAGATGTGTTTTCAGCTACTTTTCAAAATAAGACATGGACATACAGAAACCATGGACAGAAATGGACATACAGAAACCTTAACACGTTCAGTCCACATCTAGGTATTACAGGGCAAAATCTCAGTAACATGTTTTTAAACGGTTATTAAAGAGCAACAGCTATGCTTAACACTTACAGGGAATGATCTGCATTACACCGAAGTTCCTTCTGAATAAGACGGAGTAAGAACTGTAAAAACAGTCACAGTAGCTGTGTTACTATCTACACAGATACACAAATAAAGTAAGTGTCAGGATAAGGTGTTCACTGCTATTTGAGGAGTTCCTCATTTGAAACATTACTCTGTTGAATTCAGTTGAACTCAGTTTAAAAAGGTAAAAATTGAAAGATTTACAGATGCCCAGTCAATGTTTGGAAGAGGAGTTTTCATAATAAATAGATAAGAGGAGGAAAATAATTTTATTTTTGCAACCAAGACATTAATTCTTTGTACAAACCAGAATGGCTTTCTGGTTACTTTACCAGCAGAGGGAACCCAAGACTTCAAGAAAATATGGCAGATAGAAATTTTGGAGCATAAACGTACTTTAGCTGCTATTCTGAAAAACAGCTGTGTGTGTGAAAAAGCTTTAATCACACAATTAGTCAAGATGAGTAAAGTCAGTCATGTTTACTTGGCTGTGTGGGATTAAGACTTTCAAGTGCACTTTAAAAAGGTGTACTAAGATAGTGTCCATGAAAATAATTTTACAAATAAAATTTGATGATTCCCAAGTATATTAAAGACAATTAAAACTGCCAGAGTTCCCACTGTTACACGTTTCTTTATCACGAGAGTGTCACTGTTATAAATGGAAGTTTCTTCATTATTATAAGTACTGGTGTTTTAAGAAGTTAAACCTAACATTTTAGAGGTATGAGACTGGCCAAGAATGACAGAACTGAATATCATGTAAGAGGCTAAAGGCCCTCCAGATATCTTTGAAGAAGTAACATTTGAACACTGGCATCTATACGCCATACTTCAAAGAACAGGAAAAGCAGATCAAAATGTTACAAAAACTAGGGTTTATTACAACAGCACAAAGTTAATCCTCCCCAAACCAGAACTTTACGAAAGCATTTTAACTGATGCTGCAAAGAAATGTGAGGTTTTTTCATTTGGTTTTAATAAATAACTATAAAAGAAAAAAAGCAGAGCTTTAAGTCTACTTGGGAAAACTATGACAATCTCCTAAACCTCACTCTGCAGCATGGAATACCTAATACTGAAAACATCACAGATCAGGATTTATAGAGCTGCTGACTACCAGTGTGTAACATACTTCAACTATTAACTTACCCAATCAATTTACTTAATTTCCAGAGATTTCACATCTTAAATGTGGAAAAACTGACTTTCAAATTTTAGGTTTAACTTGAATTTAGGAAAAAAGCCTCAACGGTAACTCAAAGCAAGACTTTCTGCTCTTCTTCCATCAGGGAAGAGTGGTCTGACACAGTCAGCATTAGCTCCTCTGCAGGAGCACAGAGGTCAGTGCAATACAGTGCAGGCACAAGACTCTGGGCACAGCCAGTACAGAGGAAGAAGTGTTTCACAGTCACCCTGCCCTTTCATAAGCACTTCCACCAAGGCTGCTAAAGGAAAGGATAAGCAGGTGACACTTCAGGACAACTCTGAAGTAGTCATAGTAGCATTCTGCTCTGCTGGAGAACAAAGCTGGTACAGATGCCTGCCAGGAATATCTATGGCAAATGCAAAACCATAACCTACAGGCTATTCTACAGGTGGGTGCAGCAAGACTCGCCTTGCCTCATCTTTAGCAAGGCCTTTGACACAGTTTCCCACAGCATTCTCCTAGCAAAACTGACTGCTTGTGGCTTAGATGGTCACACACTTTGCTTGGTAAAAACTGTCTGGATGGCCGGGCTCAAAGAGTTGTGGTGAATGGAGTTAAATCCAGCTGGCGGCCAGTCACGAGTGGTGTCCCCCAGGGCTTGGTGTTGGGGCCGCTCCTGTTTAACATCTCATTGATGATCTAGACGAGGGGATCGAGTGAACCCTCAGTCAGTTTGCAGATGACACCAGGTGAGTGGGAGTGTTGATGTGCTCGAGGGCAGGGAGGCTCTGCAGAGAGACCTGGACAGGCTGGAGCCGTGGGCTGAGGCCAACTGGAGGAGTTTCAATAAGGCCAAATGCCGGGGGCTGCCCTTGGGCCACAACAACCCCCAGCAGAGCTACAGGCTTGGGGAGGAGTGGCTGGAGAGCTGCCAGTCAGAGAGGGACCTGGGGGTGTTGATTGACAGCTGGCTGAACAGGAGCCAGCAGTGTGCCCAGGGGGCCAAGAAGGCCAATGGCATCCTGGCTTGTGTCAGCAATAGCGTGGCCAGCAGGGACAGGGAAGGGATCTGACCCCTGTACTCGGCACTGGTGAGGCCGCACCTCGATTCCTGTGTTCAGTTTTGGGCCCCTCACTACAAAAAGGACATTGAATGACTCGAGCGTGTCCAGAAGGGCAACGAAGCTGGTGAAGGGTCTGGAGCACAGGTTGTACAGGGAGCGGCTGAGGGAACTGGAGGTGTTTAGTCTGGAGAAGAGGAGGCTGAGGGGAGACCTCATCGCCCTCTACAGCTCCCTGAAAGGAGGTTCCAGAGCTGGGGATGAGCCTCTTTAACCAAGTAATAAGTGACAGGACAAGAGGGAATGGCCTCAAGTTGTACCAGGGAAGGTTTAGACTAGATGTCAGGAAGCATTTCTTTCCAGAAGGGGTTGTTGGGCGTTAGAATGGGCTGCCCAGGGAGGTGGTGGAGTCCCCATCCCTGGAGGTGTTTAAGAGTTGGGTTGACATAGCACTGAGGGATCTGGTGTAGTTGGGAACTGTCAGTGTGAGGTTAATGGTTGGACTGGATGATCTTCAAGGTATTTTCCAACCCAGATGATTCTGTGATCTTGTGTCTTCTCTGGTCTTTAAAAGCAAAGCAGAGCAAGTCAGAAGTAAAAAAAAACCCACCACCTTTTCAGATCTTCCTACCAATCGTACAGGGTCTCAGATAGGAGAAAAAAGGAGAATGAGATGTACTTTGTACCAAGCCACCACATGTGTGTTGCACTCCTTTTCCCTAAACATCTGCTCCCGGTTGCTGTCAAAAGGTAGGATGCCAGTTTTTCAGCTAACCTAGTACAGCAGTTTTAGTCCATCCGGAGAATGTGATGTATTAACTTTCAACAGCTTCATTATCGCGGCGGTTTTGGTGATGCAGCAATGTAGCAGAACATTTGTTACTGCTTCACTAAACTGGTTTTAAAGAAAACAGAAGTAATTCTTCAGTGAGGGGAATCTGAGGCATCTTCTAGGTCTACATATGAAGGTTTACTTACAATTATGCCTGCTGCAATCTGCTCAGCCAGTAATTAACAGATGTGTATTTACTCAGGAATTGAAGTGCATCAGAACTAATCTGCACTTCTGATTAAAATTAAATGAGAATTTCAAAATGAGCAAATATGCTGTTTAATTGCAAATTTCCTACACAACTGAAGTTTCTTATAAGATGGAGTACTGAAATTGCAAAAGGAAAATTTGCATTTTAAGATCGTTTAGCACAAAAGAAATACACAGAAACTAAATAGTATTTTTAGACTTACTAGCAAGGCACATGCATCTGCCACCATGAGCATGTAAAACACGTTGTTCCAACCAGATGGGGAAATAAGACCAGCTAAGAGAGGCCCCAAAGCCGCACCTAAAATGTAATATTGGTATTGTCAAAATGATGCAATGTAAGATTTATTATGCCAAAGGAGTTATTCTGAGTTAGAATATCAGCTTCTCCACCTAGTATTACCTTATGTATTAAAAGGTCCCAGAAAGTGCAAAACCATACTGGTACAGTGCAAGCCAGTGGGAAACCTAACACAGGGAAAGCTGGAAGACTAGACATTTCAGAAATGCCTGCCTCTGGCTCAACAAAATGCCCATCCATTATTAAGCTGAATCCTACTCAGTTTTCCCTTATGCATACCAGCGTGGAAGGCATGGACAAAATATCCCTGATCTCAGAAACAGCCCAATGTCATCTGCTTTTGCTGTCTGTGCCCAGCATCAGTCTACTACCCTCATTCTTCCTCCCTCAGATGTGATACCCGCTAGAGAGATTTAACACTAATTTTGCTCTACTTCCCATTCTCAAAGCTGTACTGAGTCCTGGCAAAATGCGAACTGGACGGAGCCTAGTTTCTCAAAGATCCTTTGTTTTAACCTACCACAGCTAAGGCAGGCTACCTTACATCTCTGGCTTACCTACAGATCCTGTTCCATCGATGATTGCTGTCACTGTGGACAAGGCTCTTGCATTCCCTTTCAGGCTTTTATGGGTACCCTAAAGTGACAAAGACTGCTTAGAACCATCCTGAGATGAACTCCGAGAAAGTCCTTACAACATCATCTAGCTCACATCCATCCACATTAGATGTACATTGTGAAGATGCCTTAAATATCCTAGCTCAGACCCTTTTATCACTACTTAAAGAAGCCTTCTACCCCATCTACAGTGTTCTCCTTTATTAAATCATTGTATTTAAATCAAGAAGCTTTCTGCTCTGTACATTATGAGTTCAAGCAACAAGGACTGTACAGCTTTGAATTATGCTGCAAAGCTTTTTCCATGGCCATCTTTTCCCCTGCTAAAAAAAAAAAAAAAAAAAAAAAAAAAAAAAAAAGATCACTGCTGTGACAGCAATACTAAAGTACCAGAATAATTATGGATATATACTGAAATGCTAATTCAGAGAATTCTTGAGTCAAAAGAAGCTGCTCAGTCCCAATTCTAGAAGCCAGGTCTTCTGAACAAAACAAGTGATAAAAGGAGTGAGTTAGTAGAAAGAAAGAAACTGAATAGTTCAGAGAACTGTTTTTAAGATACAGACAGACAGTCCTTTATCTCCAGTACACTGAGAAGGATCCAGTTAGGTAATCAGCAGTTTACATTTGCTTGTGTTAGATGTTTGATTGTTGACATCTGAGGAACTGGATGGCAGTTTCAACCCTCTTCCCAAGGGCCAGGTGGGAATCTTGTGATGTCAGGCCCCACTTCCTAACTAGCAGCCCCTTTAATGAGGCTAAGGATAAAATAGGCAATGCATGATGGTCACCTTTGTCTTGCCAAGACCTCCAGGCCAAGAATAGGGCTCCAGAGGATGTTTGGAGACTTCCATCCTGATCTTTTTCCTATATTTAGAGCATTTGTTTTTAGGGGATTTTGGCTTCTTGCTTGGTACCCTAAGGAACCACTTTGAAATCAACCTTCTTTGAAAGCAACCTTCCAAAGCCTACCTAAAAGGTCAATGTTTTCACATGGCATTTATGACTTGTCTGACCTGATCCAGCTGGAAGCGCTGGCAACCAGAGTAACTGTAGAAAAAAGGGCACAGGGTAGCATGGACAAAAGTAAAGGTATGTGCCAGGTATAACTTTCCACACTGATGGGAATTAAGTCTTCAGCTCATCTCACCCAGATACAGCTCCTCCCTTCATTTAAAGACACAAAGTATAAAAAGAAGAGAAAGCACCTGTACACTTTGCATTCAACCTTCACATTTACTTTGGGTTGTCATCTACATGATTTGGTCTGTTTTATTAGCAGGCAAGAGTAATTTAGAAGCTTTGCACAAGCACGACACTCATTCATACAAATACACGATCTCTAAAACAATCTCAATGGCGGAGTTCAGCACTGCCTATCCAGCTCCTTATCCCTTTACTTTAGGACAATGAAGTCCCTTCACTGACAACCCTACACAAATCAAAGGGCTACATTGGAAGCAGAGGGGAAGCCAAACTCACCAAGTCGGCAGAGACAGCAGTGGTGATCAGTGCATAAGGGCCATTCACCAGGGCACCACTGATAAGCAGCATCACTGTTTCAAGTTGACAAAAATGGAAAATTTGAGTTGCCTGGAAGACTGTTAACTGTATCAACAGGAGACACCATAGCCTATGCTTCTCAAATGTTTTAATCCCAAATTGGGTCCCCTGACTCCATTACAAAGTTGAGAAAGGAGGAAAAGCAACATACATTCCTATCACCCTTCAGTGGTTACTCCACAATGTGAACTCACAAATATAACAGGAGATGGGACTGAGTCAAAAGGCACTTCCCAGCGCCTTTATTGATCCTGGTAGGTCAGAGAAAGGGGAAAATCTGACCAAACTGACCCTAAGAGCAGGAGATATGCACAGGATCCACCCATAAGCCCTTTCTCTGCTGATACAGCAAAGGACCAGAGGGCCCTACAACTTAACAAGATCTTTAGGTAGGTGAGACACTACTGTCAGCACTTGTATTTCAACTTCTCTTTTGAGGTAACCAGTAAAAAGCCGCAAATGAATTCAGCCTGTACAAGTAAAGTCAACGTTGCTGTCAAAAGTACTACAAGTATTCTTTAAACACCTCTGACATCTGACACAGGGAATACAATAAAGCCTGTACTGACGCAAAAGCTTGAGAAAGAAGACTAATGGTATTAACTAAATCACTTTTTTTCATGCCACCCTTTACTGACTTCCTCGCCTCCCCTTCCTTACCCTGTAAAAAGTCTGCAAGACAAAGTCTAGGGAATTTGATTCCATACTTAAAAACCAAATTTTTTAAAATTTGAAAAAAGGATAGAGAATCAAATAATCATAAATTAAAAGTTCACAGAAAGCCAGAGAGTAATTTAAAGATACTCACCTACAGTAGCCTCAAGGCCCATTTTACTGACTGCAGAGAACATGTACAACTGTAAAGATGAAAAAACCAAACATGCTGAATACCAACATATGGACTAATCCTAGGTTCCCCATTTTCCCCTTATTAACTACAAAGTTTTTTAGTTAGTATTATGTGAAAGCTAGTTCTAGGTTTTACTAAACCATTTTAGACCACAGCAGAATGATTTTTTGACTGGACACAGGAAGGAGATAAGGGGTATGCTCCTATTTCCCAGTATGTTCTTTCAGAAGAAAGGGCTGTGTTATGAGACCACTCAACTTTGAACTCTCAAACTGCCAGCTTCAACCCAGGACAGAATACTGTTCACGAAAGAATTAAAGAAAAATGCATCTCATATGTCCAACTGACAGTTTTTCAACAGTTATAGCACAGAAATTTTAGCCTTTTCGCAGCTAAAATTCTGGCTAAGAACTGAACATCAAATTTTACAAGAGTGATTATCTCCCTGTATAATCCTATAACAAGCAATACATTAGAGTTATTTGCTTGTTTAGTAAAGGCAGCCCCATGCTCACATGCTCAACTTCTCACGCCAGCTTTAACCTAGCCTGAACTCTTTATATCCAAGTTAGAAGATGCTGTCTGCAGAACTTCCCAAGGAATGCTGTCAAAGTCTCAGCCACAGCTGTAAGAGAAGGGCAAACTCTTACTGTGGGTGCTGCAAGCAATAACATCATTCCGCAGGTTGATGCCCTCTTCTCCAGCCTGTCTGAAATCAGGCCTGCCAAAATTCCACCTGAAAGAAGAGTGATGTGTGAGCAAAACACTGTGCATGTTTTACACAAAAGACATCAGTTATACTTAATGAAACCCAACCCAGATTAAAATGATACAACTTTCAATGCAGTTATACACAGCAGCACAGAGCATGAGACTGACATCATCATTTACATTTAGCAATTTCCTTATTAACCCAACTAGTGCTGACTGAGAAGATAACAGAAGCAGACAGTTGTTCTTCCTCATTGTTTATTCCAACAAAATATCCAACATGACCGGGGTGGAGGTGGGATAGGGATGACAGAAATATTTAGAAATCATTGCTCTACTGCTTTTGAATGTGATCTTTTCACCAGGTGCCACATGGCCCCACTGCTGGCATTCTGGAATCCAGCTGTGCCCAGCTACTCACTGGTCTCAATTCCTCAGATGCAACAGTAATCTCGGCTCTTGAATGCTCTGTCCATGTTGCACTGCAACCAGGGGAAATTGGCTGCTCTAGATCTTGGGGCAAATGAAATATTTGGTTTTATCTCCAGGTAGTCACTCCGGACTCTTTAATTTTCCCTACTTCCTGTGTTTGCCAATGACTGTACACAGAAGTATTAATCCGAGTCTGTGGTGGAGGGGGCTGGAAGGCCCAAGGGAAGGAGCTGCCAAAATGATATAAAATGAACTTGGTACAGGGGGAAGAACAGGAAGCTCTGTAGATTCTCCAGATTCCTAAGTATTGCTGGGCCTGCTACTCCCTTCCCAGCTGCCCATCTCCAAAGTGCTCATATCCCACTTGAATTTAAACATAAATGCCAAAGGTCCAAGCAGCACCGGCACACTATTCCATAGTGGAATAAGATATCGCTGAAAGCAGTCGCCCACATCTCTAAGGTACTACTGACTCTGGCTTCTAGCTATCTGGGATGAAAATAAGCAGTAAGAAATGGCCGCAGCCACATCTAGCACAAGGATAGAACAGTAACTGCAACACACCTTGACACTGCACCTTGAACTACGAGGGTCTACATAGCCCTTGATCCAGTGAAACTTCTCCATCATGAGCATCATTGTCCAATAGAGGGATTATTTCCATAAGGGAACTGGGGGAGGAGAAGAGGGGATGGGGTGTGTGTGTGTGTGTGTGTGTGTGTGTGTGTGTGTGTGTGTGTGAAATCAGCTGGGCATCAAGGCGATGATTGTTTTTTATTGTGAGCTATACTGTCTGCACTGGCTTAAGAATTTAATTATTCCATCGTCACCTCTCATCCTTATTGTTATTACAATCTTTCAATTTTGTCATATACAGTTATTCAAAAAGAAAATATCAAGAAAAAAAATGCGACACACCTGTGGCCATTCGGCTCTGTGCCTACAAAAAAAAATATACAACTATACAGGCTGGGATAATTCTGTTATGCTAGAGCGACAAAAGGAAGACATTTTGCCAGGTGGCATGACCAAGATGCACAGGCTAGAGCTGATGGAGCTAAAAGATTCCATAATACTTGGCTCTTATAATCTGTGCTGGACAATATCACTGGCTGTGAGTTGTTTAAGATATTTTGCTAGGTTTTCAACAACCCACCCAGCTCTCAACTTAGTATCTTTACTGACACTCTCCTTCAGTGAACATAAGGCACAAGGATTAATAATATATATAAACTGTGCATACCAAAGCTTTTCCTGAACTGGTCCAATTAAGGATGAAATATTAATATATAAAACTTACCAAAGATTCCCCCCACATCAAACAGTGTAGAAAGGTCTCCAGCTCTTTTGGCATCAAGATGCTCTAGCCACAGAAGAAAAGCATTTGTCTCATTTTCAGACTACAAAACAGAAATCTCAATAATCTTGTTATGCTAGGCTAAAGGCATCTTATGGCAGCATTGTTTGTTCACAGGAATAAGCTACCATAAGCTGTCATTGTATATGATAAAGAAGAATGTATCTTAACTGGGTATTCAGGGATACAGTCTTTTGAATGCAATTACATTCACAGCAGGACATTTTACCACTTTAACTACAGATGCAGTCCAAGCAACAGAACTGTTGACTGTTAAGTTTGGACTAATGATACTCCCTCTGTGAATAGCCACAGATTCATAAACAGTTAACAAATGCTTGTGAGGCTCTTTACTCTAAAAGCATGATTAGTGCACACTTGGATCACTCACAGAGCTTCACCCTGGAGGCCTCCATCACATGACCATTAATATTCATCATTAAATTACATTGGCATAAAATGCACCATACAGTTCATGGGCACTATGGCGAGACAGTGATTTCCTTAACCCCACTGTTTGCACATATTTACATTTAGCTCAACGTAGCGACTGATATGCTACAGGGTCAGATCTCCAAAAGTACCTCAGGAAGTCAGGCAACCCAGTCCCATTGTGGCAAGTGTGAAGTTTCAAAAGCAGCAGAGTTTCTAAACCCCTTTGGTATTTTTTAAAATATCTGAAATACATCTGCAAGAGCAGTATGTGCTAAAACAGTGGGGTCAGTGGCATTACCATAACCTCACCAACATCTGCCACAGCACAGACGGCAGTACTGTCGTAAATAACATTAACCTTTCTATTAAAAGCCTGCTGCTTTCAAGTGACCCAGTCCTGCAGTAACACTCTTTTTTCTGAGTACACACACAACAGCCTTTAGCTATAGGATTTGCAGCTCTACGTGTTTTCATAAGGTGTTCATCCCATCTCTCTGCTGGTTGTCACTGCCATACTTGTCCAGCACAGCTTGTTAGCTGGGGATTTAAAGATCACATCATGGCTCACAAGAACATGAATTTCTCTGGCTAGGGAGAACGCCTTTCTCTGCACTCTACAGCAGAAAACAAAAAAGCAGTACTGAAGAGATAAAAAAGCTCATTTAGATTTTTTTATATGTTTTAATAAGGCACTTCAATCATGTAAAAACATTATGAGAAATTAAACCTTTTTGATTGGTTTGCAAGAGACAAAGACACAGCACTGATGCTTGGAATTGTTGAAGAGAAGCCAGATTCTTTTTTTGTTTGCTTGTTTTGAAAACACCCTCTCATAATACTAAATTCATAAAACTGGGAAATATGTTAATTGATGACTCACAACTTTCCTGCTACTGTATCAAAGCTAGCTTATTTTAAAAGTTTATGTTTATTTTCTTATCTTCTTATTTATTTCAAGCTCTTATTTACAGACACTTTGCAGTCGTAATTCTGTATCCTCATTATTGTGATACTTACCTACATTTGTGATATAGAGGGGAAGCCAGAAGAGGAAAGTATAGCTCACCAGCTTTGCAAACAGAAGGCAAAGGGAGAACTCTATGACTCCCTGAGAGAATAAAGAAAATACAAAGTTAGTATATTGATGGAGGCTGCTATTTGCTTTCAAAGACCATTATGAAAATGGTTTCTAAGAAGCATTTAAGCTGTTCTTTTTCTCTCAAGAATTCCCAAGAAGAATTCCCAATTCTTCCCCTGAAAGCACAAAGCTTGTAATCAGAGCAGACTGTGGTATTTTACTTACATGTTTTCTCTTCTCTTAATTGTACTGACTTGACAGAAGAGAGAACGCTAGAATGAACAGGAAGGATTTGATACTGTTTGGGACACCAGCATCATCTATTTTCCTCATGTAAAGAGGTTTTTAATAGCATTACAGCAGATTTGGAGTGTATTTCAGAGGGACTAGCATATTTTTATGTTCTTTAGATCCTTCCTTCAAGATGGGCCTTACTGTTTAACTCTTTACAAAAGCTGGTTAACCAGTATGACACAGTTCAAGCCTGCACGTTGAGGCCTGTAACAGTTAGTGATAAGAGAAGCATTCCATTATACTTTATATGGTCAAGTTGTGTATACCTGGAAATCTCAAAGGAGGAAATATTAAATTCTTTTACCAAACAATGTTTAACTTTGTATTTAACAAGGGTTGAGTGATTAAAATGTACAGAGAAGATATCCTGACCTTGAGAATAGATACATCCTGGCAGAAATGCTCAAACAAGGCAGATAAGAAAGAAAAGCTAGACAACAGAGTTGGGAAATATCCAAGGAGAAGAAATTGTCCTCAAAATACTCATGACCATAAAAGGGAAAAAGAAGGAGGAGGCTAACTCCTCAAATGACCACTGATGACCAGCTGAGACTCCTGTGCATGCGTAGTGTAGTTTTGCAACACCAGCGTTATGTAAATGTAGTAAATAGGCAGAAAGGCCGAAACTTACCGGAAAAAGTATGAAGATTCATGTCTTTAAGGCACATAAAAGATTAACTTTTGTTTTAGCGCGTGCATGTTAGGTGGAATGATCCCCCGTGCATCCAGCGCTGCAATAAAGAATGCCTGCTTTCTAAAACTCCAGGATGAGTCTTACAGTTCCTCTGCTGGCTTTTACGGTAACGAGAGGACAATCAAGGATGATAGTCGCTGATCTAAAGGAAACTTCCTTTCCCTTCACCAGCAGTCCAAATGTTTAGGCTGTCTGAAACTTCTCAATATAAACCACACAAGAGGTTTTAAAATTAAAGCTTTAAAAAATAATGTTGACAAGTCTAAAAGGGAAGCCATGGAAGGAAGTTCTGATGCAGAGAAGTGCTTATAGACTCAGCCTGCTATTCCGTCTTTAATACACATGTGCCATTAACTAAGACCAGTAAACTTTTACATTATAGACTACTCAAGTACTAGTTATAATGAGGTGAAAAAAAAAACCCAGTTATATGGGTACTGGAGCCTAGATGCTTGTAGTTTCTAAGATGCAACCAGTGAGCTTATACCATCTGCTTATTGGGAAGAGTATTCTTGTATTGATTTTGACTTCTCTGAGAGGAGCACACCTTATCTTCTGTACCTACATACACCAGTATTGCCCATCAAAACCTGTGATGCAAAGTTAGTCATCTACCACTCCCATCTAGAATTTTATGTAACTGAATTGAGGCAAAACTTAATTTTTAGAGGAACAGGAAAGAACAGTGCATGTACTCACAGGTATTCGCAAGGCCCCAAGGAAGCTGATAGCTGATGTCCCATGTCTACCTTCCCCAGTGACCACAACACTGGAGTTCAGTGACACGCTGCAATTTTCACTGTCAGTAAGCAAATTCTGCATCTCTGAATCCTGCAGTTTTCCCCAGCAACACCATATGAAAAACAAAGGAAGAATGCATCAAAACATGTATGCAGGAATCAAATAATTCCAAAATATATATTTTTTTTAAAGTTATCTATTTTATCACAGAAAGTTACAGCTTTTAATCTCTTGATTTGGATATACAGAGTATATGGAGAGAGTACAGAGTATATAATACAGAATATCAGGTGAAACAAGCCTGGATATTTATGTCTTAGTGCATACACTTTAGTATGGAATCAAATTTCTGTTCCACTGTGACACAAATTCAAGTTGCAAAAAAGGCATATTTTTTTTATATATATATATATATACATACACACGCACACCCACCCCATTTAACGGAATAAAATAATTCCCAGTCTTCCCTTATCCCACTATGTAAATGTGGTCTAATTAAAACTGACAATCTACTGAGTACACCACATTTCTGTATAGAAACATGTATTATCTTCCTTCTGTACAAACATTAAATCCACTTTTCAGAATCATTAACATCATCTTACTCACTGATTTAAATACAAGCTAACATTCCATGAATTATGGATACTAAGTGCTTTATGTTAAGCAATCACTTATTTTTTCATGTCTGTTTCATTTGAGCATTGCAATCCACAAATTATAAAAGCCTGGAATTTACCAATGTTACCCAAGTTGTGAATTCTGAGTTATTTTCTAGCGCTAAGAAGGATTTTACTCTAATAATTCCACTGGCTGCTAAAAATACTTGCGAAGTAAGTTATCACTCAACAAGAACAAGCCATCCCAGTCTAGCCATGAGGATATCTTGTTATTTTTATCTATCCACCACACTGAAGTGAACTCTCAGAATACAACTAGAAATTTACATCTTACAGCTGTACACAGAAAAACAAATTCCAGGCATAAATAACCCTTAGTACTTCTTTTCCAACTCAGAAAAAGGACGGGATGTAGCTATCCTCACCTTCACATGCTCGCTGAGAAGCTTACCTAGCTGTGTACTTTTACTAACTATGGATGTATTGTACATACTGTCTTCTTCCTCCTAATTCTTGTGCATTTGAATAAAGCCTTAGCGAAGAATTAAGCCTCAAATATATATTTGGCTGTAGGTTAGTAAGGATAACTACTGGAAATCAAATAGCCTGCTGTTTTATAACAAAGATGAAAACTTTCTGATTAATATTTGGTAGCTGATGGAGGAAGAAGGAACAAAAATAAAAATCACTCTGTGATTCTAAATAAATTCTGTTTTTAAAGAACTTCATTTAGGAGAAGACACTAGGGAAACTTTTGGACATCTGAGGGCACAGCATAATTTTAGAAGCTACCATGCAGCATCCAAAAATGTTTGTACAGGACTGGTAGACAGGATGCAGGATTTACAGGAGACCCTGTACCCTGATGAAGCACTAACTAGAAGACAGGAAAAAAAATCTAGGGACTTCTGACATGGTACTGTAAACCTATGTTATCATAATCATAAGAATCTATCTTCTGAATTAGTGGAGCAACTTCAAAATGAACTATTTTAACAGTAGCAATTCAAACTATCCACCATTAACACAGAAAAAGAGGAAGGGCGGGGGGGAGAGAGAAGGAAAAAAAAAGAAGTTTCCCACTGGATTCAATGGAAGACACTTCTGAGTGTATTAAGTGAGTACCTCCTGCACACTTTGCACAGCGAACTTAGCCAGGACTGTCTGAGATAAAGCTGGTCATTTCTAAGACAGGTAGCCCTAAGCCTATTTAAGAAGAGTGGGTTAAATATTGAAGTGGAAGTTATCAGAGTCCAAACAACTTATTTTAGCAACCCATGCTGGAAACTTTTACTGACAATATGCATTTTTTATGCTGCACATAGCTAAATGATGAATAAACCCAACAGTTTGTACGTGGCAGAGATAACATTGTTCAGCCTTGCCAGCTTGTCATAGAGTGTCATTGGGTATATGGCACACTCTTGATCTCTGGGAAGGATTCATTATCCCTCAATTTTGTGTAATTTTTAAGAGGCCAACCTGACATAAGCAGTAATGAACACACAGATGTATTCAGGCCACACAGCCAAAACCACATTCTGCTTTCAAACACTGCATATCCCGAATATTTGCTTTCTTTTTACAGTAATTGAAGAGGTCAATGAAAAATAAGTAAAAGCTGTCATTCCAGTGTGCTTGGAGGAGACCAGCTCACAAATACAAAACATCTGTTGTTTGTACAGGCACAAAAGCTGACTGCAATAATCAGCTCAGCACAACTGCAATACAACCACTATAAAAAAGAGAGATGTTCAACTCGACTTTGACAGGAAAAAGATGATCTTCTGTCACTGGCAGAAAATCCCAGTGACAAACAAGGATTTTTAATTTTTTATTATATATTTTTTAAAACCTTGTTAGAACTCCATATTATGAACATACAATCTGGGGGGTGCGGGGGGGAGGAAAAAAAAAAGATTGACAGGATTGCCAAGATTTGGCATCCATGTTGTCTCTGTCCTGCTCACAAGGGAGCACCAGTCAGTGTGAGTGGGTGTACATTTTCCTTCCTCACAGAATCAACTAGGTTGGAAAGGACCTTGAAGATCATTGAGTCCAACCATTAACCTCACACTGAGAGTTCCCAACTACACCATATCCCTCAGCGCTATGTTGACTCTACTCTTAAACACCTCCAGGGACAGGGACGCCACCACGCCCCTGGGCAGAAAGCTCACTTGCTATGCAGACTCTGCATAGTTTGACAGTAGAGGTACTAGCAGTGTTAGCAGACAAAGATTTCTAATTTGCTGACTATATTTTAGCTCTGTCTTCATAACTTGTCTACAGACATCTGCTGATATTCTTACATCTTCTCATCTTACTTTCCAGCTGGCTGTGAAATAATATTTCCAAATGGTTTCTGGGCTGGACACTGTTCTTGGGCAGCTCAAAAAGAGCATGATCAGAGGGGGTTTAAACTGGACTGATCAAAATGATGAGTGTTTTCTTAGCAAAAATTTCAAAACCTTTTCATCAATACTGATTACTATACCCTCTGAATACTGATTATTCTTCTATGGGCAAAGGATGAAAAGAACAGGAAGTTTCTATCTTCCTGTAAAAGTCTGAAAGGAGTTTAAAAAAGTTAACCTTCAGGATATGATGTGCCAAGTGTACCAAGTACAAATACAAAACTGCAAATGGAAATTTTCAGTTGATGTCCATCACAAGATAAAATGTCTTTCTGCTCACAAATGGGCAAATCCAGAATTCAGTTTCTAGTGAGAATTACCAGCACTTACGGTTACAAGTTTTAAGCAAGATTACTGTGAACAACTGCTCACATTTAGAACTCTCTGTCTCCATATGTTTTCTTGAAAGTACATACATCTATTACATTAAAAAGGGAGAGAAGTGAGACTGCAAGGATGGGACAAACATGGTATAAGCAGTTTAAAGATTTCAAATGGGCTATCTTTAAAATATTTTGCAGTGCATTATTTCTGCTGGAATTGTATGAAGATCACAAGATAAGACCAACTGAGTAAGTATGCTATTGTGTTCAGCTCAGTTTGCAGTATTTATGTTAGATAATACTTAGTTTTCTCATCTCAAGTTACATTGGTGTCTGAAAATGGAAGTAGATTTCAGCATCATAAAAAGGAAGAGCAATCTTTACCAACAGTAATCTACTGTGAATATTCCACGTGAGCCTTAGGAAGTCTTCTATACTATTTTACAACAACATGTTATATTTTACCTGAGGTTTGCTGGTTTCCTTAGCATTTAAGATTGGCATCTGGACTCTGAATCGAGATGCACCATTCATGAAGGTTTTAGAAGTCTGAAAAAAATAAAACAAAACAAAAAAAACACCCCATACATTTGTTGCTAGTTTTTTTAAGGATTACACTAGTGTTAATCATTTCTCTGCAACAAAGCCTTTGTGCTTTGTAACATAAACATAACCACAAAAAAAGCATCTTTAATTTAGTGACAGTGCATTTTGGGTTTTTAAAGTTCTTATGCAGACCTATGGCAATGTACACAAGTTGTAATAACAAATTTATATGAAGGCTAACTTCATACTGTTTTACTATAGAAGCAGCCTACTGAATTCTGAGCACAGTCATGCCGTTCTTAACTCAAGATTTTTCTTCTACTGAACTTTCATTGACATTGCAAACATCTTTTTTTTTTTTTTCTCATAAGCAGATGAGCATAGCAGCAACTATAGAAGTTGATTTGTTTCAGGAAAACCTTGATTCTTCACTTCCCTATCCCTTTAAGGTAAAAGTTTATCCCATCAGCTTATGCTTATTATATTCATCTAACCTGGAAATGGACTGTGCTGTTGTGGCCAGGAGGGTTAATGAAGAGTCTGAGCACCTCCAGCACACTCAGTACCAAAATCAAGGCAACAAACTATTTTAGGCCCCTGGATGGACGTTCTTTTTATACTTTTATTAACAAGTGCATTAGTGTACCAGTTCACACCAAAATTGCATTAATTGGAAAACATTGTTCTGAAACCCTTGGTCTAAGATTTACCAGGGACATTTAAGGTTTGTTCACTGAATTAAATATATGGCTTCAAAGTAGGTTTGCAGACAGGTATGGACAACCAATTGCTAAGACCACAAGAGACACTGTGCATTCCTCAGGGATGAGATGTTTATTTCAGTGTCTAACCACACTCTAGATGCCACATTAAAAAAACAAAATAAAACAAAAATACTCAAACCCTGACACAAATATACCCCTCAACAACAACAAAACCAAAAAAAAGTACATTTTCACTGAACATTTGAATTCAAAATGAATCACTAAACAAAAATACAAGGATATGTATTACAGTATTATTTAGACAAACTGCCATTCATCAGCCTTCTAAGACGACAAAAAACTTTTGACGATAGCCTAAAGTATTTCTGCTGCTCAACGCAGAGCTGAAGCCAAGCAGTCTTGGGCATGCATTCCTCAAAATAAATAACTCAAACCCCCAGGGTCTGATAAAACAGATTTTAAATTTTTTTCTTACAGAAAATTAGGTTCTTATCAAAAAAGTGATTTACAATAATCTGTGGGGAAGAAAATCCGTTATCTAGACAAGTCATCTACATCATTATTCAGCAGCTCAGCAGAGAAAAAGTGAAAGACTTTTTCATTTGACTGTCAAAAATAAGATTTACTGTGGTAAGGAGGAAATGTCTGGGGAAAAGGACTAGACTGAGAGGCTGCACATTTAATACTTAGACTTCTTTCTCCTCTTTGGAAGATAAAAATTGCAGCCTGCTATCTTTTAAATGCACAAGCACTCTGCCACAGGAGTTCAAGAGAGCTAAGTTTCCTGGAAATGCAAAGTCAGGTTAAAGAAAGTTCCTAGAACATAAAGACAGGTCTGTATGAACATGCTGCAACTAACATGTTTCTATAAAAAAAAGCACAGGAAGAAAAGATGAGAAGCAGTAAACCAAATTCTAAATCATCACATTTCACAAATGTTAAATCTATGCTTTAACTTTCATTATGAAAGTGCACCGATGCTTAATAAAGCACACTGACTTTTCGTTTGCGTTTGTTATAGCTATAACCTTTCATGAAGTCATAGATTAAGCCTCCAGTGCTAGCATTTAAAATCACTTTATTGTATGTAAATACTTGTTTTGAAACAAATTTCAGATTCATAAATCAGAGCCAAGGTGAATACAAACAAATGAAGCACAGCCCAAGAAATCGATGAAGAACTGTGCATTCAAGGCTCTGTGCCTGCCTCTCCGTCTGTGCTTCTGGACAACTCAATGAAATCAGATTACTCACCACTACAAACTCTGTAGAAATATTGGGCTCACGATCATGCTGCAAATAAACAGTAGACCAAATTCATCCAAGATAGCAATAACACACAGAGATGAATCTGATCTAGAAATCTTAATATAAATCTACCTGAAGTCCTTCCCTCATGTTAGGCATTTATTTTAGTTGTGTTTAACTGGCCTCATTCTTCCACAATGAGATTCAGCTTTGGTGCCAGCTGGCAGAGCTGCTTGCACCTAACCAAGACATCTGTCCAATGTGACCTACTACAGCCTTATGAACAAAGAAAGTGTGTATGTTTTTTTTAAGGTCTTATTAAAAACATTCCTAACTATGCAGAAGCACACGTGTTTTTTCAGATTGTCACTGAAATGACTGAGCAAAAAAGGCCAGCAAATCCTACCCCTTGTACAACACGACTGAAATTTTTTGTTCCCAGTAATAACAGTCTGTTTTACTACATGAACCTTCTTTCAATTAGCAGTCTGTTTTCTTTACAGACAGCATTTTGTCATTACATCTGTACTTATACAAGATCTTCTTGAACTTCTATTCTCATCTTATTCATTTCCTTAACTTCTAAAACCACCCTCCCCACAGCAAACAAGCTGTAAACCCTACTCACTAAGGATTTAGAATCCATTGTACTTTGCAGACCATACAGGTCTGACGAGAGGCATTTCAGCAGTTTGAATGGCATACAGCTGCCCAAGACAATGGTGAATTTTAATCTGAAAAGGGTCCAAGACAGGTGGGGAAGCACTTTTATAAACCTCCTACAAAATTTGCAGATGTGAATATACAGAATAGGGAAGGAAGAAGTGATGCCTTTTGCTCTGGAGAGCAAGGTTTCCAGGGAAACAAAGTCAGATGCATCCCTACACAATAAGACTGCACCTGGAGCAGTGATCTTGCTGGTACCCTACAGAAGATTAGGTCAAATGCTAGTCCTTTTCTGGGTCTGGGGGAAAGGGTGGCAAATGGAAGGGGAAAAGAGTTCCTAATATATTAAGGTTTTGTTAAAAATATCACAGCAAGTAGATATTGAATGCCAAATTTTTCCATAACAGCTCCTTGAGACATATGAGCAACAAACTGTGCGGAAATCTTTAGTTATACTTTCCAGTACAAGTGTATTTGAAACAAATAAACATTTACTTCTATACAGCTTAACAGCAAATTCTATAAACATTATGGTCTAGGTATTACAAAAAAGCTGAAATGTTCATGGGAGCATTTCTGAACTACATAAAAGCTAAGGAAAAAAATTATTCCTGTTAGAAGTCTCTAACAGCCCCGCGAATATTCTCATACTTGACAGAAGTTACTTTTAAGAAATAAAAGAGAATCAAATGAAAAATACAGAGCACATTTTGAGCACACCTTATCTCACAGTAACAAACTAAGAATAGGAATTCCACAGACCCTTAAAAGTATTCAGAAGCTTTATCAGGAGTTCTTCATATGAGGAGAAAAAACAATTAACTGGTAAAGAAGAGATAACAGACTAGAAAAGTTACGTTTAGTTACTATTCAAGAAGAGGAGAGTATTTAAAATGTAAAAAGCCGGCTATCTGAAACTATTGGGGCAGTGGTAAAAAAAAGCAGCAATCGCCCCTGTGAGACTTGCTACTAAGAGGTACAGTCCGCATATACCTGTCTGCACATGTAGGTAATCTCCATGTATAATCCCCTAGCACTGGAAAACATATGTGGGATTCCCCTGGGACCTTCCCTCTGACACTTTCCCCAACAGCCCCAATTTGCCCTCACACATGGGAAACCTTCAGACCAGTCTCCCCCTACCCTTCTTTCAAAGAACCACTTGAAAATGTGGCAGACCTGATTGCCCACAGGTCCCTGGGAGCCAAAGAAGAAAGAGCCTGGAGCAACATTCTGCTCTAGGTTTTGGTTACAGTAGAGACACTTACCAGAGTCTTATGGAACATGAAACAGAGATGAACCTGCAAACACACTGCAGATGACATTCTGTAGGACAAGTTATACACAGCTGGTCTTCCTAATGCTCTTTTTTGTTTCCTTTTCTTGCTTTTTATTTTTCTCTTGTTCTATTTGGATTGCCCCCCTTCTCTTGGGTCACAGCCACATGAGGCAAGAAAGGAATCATCTTCTCAGGTAGCAGCTAAACCTTTTTAAGGCACATCTTTTCACCACTGACATGGATTTCTACATTACTTAATTCTGAGTACATAAAATGTCTTAAAAACATTTGTTTCAAAAGCACTGGGGAAACATCTTGGTACCAGAGCTTAATCACTTCCAACCTACTTTTAAAATAATGTTTGAACAACCTTACACTAATACTTAAAGAGAAAGCTTTCATTTTAGAAAATTTTTTTTTTAAAGTTATGAGTTTTGTGGCTACAATGACAGAAGGAAGTATACATGCAATGTTCAGCAACCCAAAGAAAGCTTAGACATTTGCACACACACATACTTCAATCCTGGTTCAACAATGCCCTAAGTGGTCAATCTCTGATGCTGGATTTTCAAACTCTTGTGTCAAAGAGAGTCACATCTTTGCTTGTGATCCAGGCAGTATGAGTTCCACAGTTTGTGTGTGTGATAGTATATTTACAGCTTAGTGAAGTTCATTACCTTGCCAAAATTTAAGCCCTTGAAGTATAAGCTGTCATACAATAACAAGATCCAGTGCCTTGTTGCCAATAATACATGTGATCAATGCATTCTAAAAACTCACTGTATATTTAAAAAAAATATAAATCACCTATGTATAAACAGCATCTCCGTCCTTGAAGATTTCAAAATTTGACAGGCAAGCACAAAGCAATTTGATCCTATGTCAAATTTAGATCTATTATGAGCAGAGTGTAGGACCACTCAATGTCCAGAGGTCCTGTCCCTTCCAACCTAAATTATTCTGTGATGCCACAAAAACTAACACATTGATTTGTCACGTGACTGATGCCACTAAGCAGATTGTTTCTCTCTCCTTTTCACAGTCCTTCATTAACATTAGTTTTAGTTAAATAAAGGCCATATTATATCATGACTAAAGTCACTGTAACAGACTGACTGTCCGCTCCAATCTCTTTATCTCAGCTTCATATCCATCCCTTGCTTTCTCTTTTCCTTGGCCATGTGCTCCTATGGCCCTTCCCTCTACCCAAAGGAACATCCTGCCTTCCATCTCCAAGCCCACAGATGGGTGGTTCACTGATGTTATGTCAGGAAAAGGGCTGTTTGCTCTTCCTGCAATGCCTAATACAGGGTTCTCAAGCAGTGAGAGCCTTCACAGAATATGGTTGGTAGCTATCTCATTATGTCATACCTAAGCAAGGAAGGCAACAGGAGATAGCTCAAAATGCTCTAAAGATGTCCAGGAAGACTGGAAGAAAGTCTCGAAAAAATCTCGAAAAAAAAAAACCCAACCCAACACAGTTTTTACTTGGTTTACTGTAGTATGATCATCTATTTCAAAATTTCAGTTAAAACAATCTCATTCACCTCTTGATTCACATTGCTTTGACAGAAAGTAAGCTACTGGTTTATCAGTGAAGCACAGAAGACCAATAATTCCCTCAAGTACAGGGTCAGTTATAAGAGCCTCGCACAGAAAGGCCACATAGATTATCTGATTTCCAGAACTATCATAATAAACATGTGCATTAGGAAGCAAAAATCAAAATAGAAAAGGCATTCACTTACGCTGGATGGCGTGCAGGAGCAACTAACATCTTTAGGATCTGAAATACAATACCACACATAGTTAATAGTGAAAACAAGCATAATGAATATCTCTTCACACTTACCAGTAGTGTAATTTACTGACAATAAACCAACAACACATAACACAGAAGTAGTCCTGGTAAAAATGTGTAGCTGTAGCTTTAGAGAAAAATGAAAGGGTACTCCATAGTATCCTTCCCATCCTACAACAACATTAAGTGCTGTTTTGGCAGTCCAGCTCATTATAATATTCTAGTTACACCTGAAGAACTTTTTACCTCCTGACACAGGACAGTTACAGCAAAATAAACATTCATATTACTACTAATATAGCTGAGTCTGTGTAGGGACAAAAGTGGTCATGCCTTTTACATTTTTAATTTAAAATGACAAAAACTTGCTTTATCATCTGATTTCTGTATTTCATAGCAAGAATATGGATAGCATGGGTTGAATGGTAGCAAAGAATATACATGGCAGCCAGGTGGGACATTCTGCTAAGATAGACTTGAACAATTTATAAAGACAGGGAACTAACAATGGGGCAGTGGACTGAATTCTGAAGTGTTACTCTCTCAGGTATGCCAGAGTCTGAGTGTATAAACTCTTTAGGCATACACAGGGTCTTCTCCATCTACTGTTATAGGAAGAAGTTCTTTAAGTATTGGCATAGCTTGAGGAATATACTTTGCACTGGATCATTTAGCTTAAACACAGAGTGTTCTTCACCCATAATGAGCCCCTCCATGGTTTGATCCCATTAAAGCACTTACGTTCAATAAGAAACAGGAAACAAACAATCCCCATCACAGCAATGATAACACCAGGCATCACAAAGGAGAGACCCCAGCACGTAGACACCCAGTAAGCAGCAATTAAGGATCCCAAGATATTTCCTACTGAAGTGTGTGAATTCCAGATTCCCATGATCAAACCTCTCCTGCATTTAAAAAAAAAAAAACCACAAACGCAAACCACAAATATTTCTTATTATTCACACAATAAGCTTTACTATCTTGAGAAAAGTGTATCAAAAGTGACCATTTTTCTGTGGTGTTAGTGAAATATTTGCAATCTTACTGTTCTTTAACTGATCGCTTCTTTATGCTACAGTCTTTCATCTGGCAATTTCAAGACACCTGAACATTAATAGAAGTGTTCTAAATACTTCTGTGCATGACAGAACTCATTCTGGTTTTAATGGCATTTAAAGGCACCACTAGGGCTTTCATATTCCTGAATTGAGTTTTTTGGATAAAAACAATTTTCCATATGTACATAGTGTGTACACTAAGTCTGATGCTTCTGGGAATGAAAGTCCTCCTGCAAACACCTTGCACCAGTGATCCGATGCTTTCAGGATATGTTAGACTTATCATGCAGAAGAAAACAATCTGTGCAGGATACATAGAGCAAATTTGCTATTTTCTGATCACATTCTGGACTTGCTAGGCACTAGTAGAAGGTAACACCTGCGCAAGCTTGGCTAACAGACACAAACTGCTGTCTGCCTGGAACTCACAGATTAAAACTGCTGTAGAATAGCTCCAGACGAGCTAATGTAAACCACAAAAATCTTACTGAAGTCATGAGAGGTAGTTCATTTTTCTTCCTTGTAAGTCATGAGAAAACTGCCTTGCCCTCAGCAGGAGTTTACCTGGAGCAACCTAATTTGAAGTAAACCAAATCTTTTCCTTTGGCTGATGACAAGATTAAAGAGGTCTGCTCATGTTTCACAGAATTTGTAGCAAAATGAAAACAAGAACCAGATCACTGACAAACAAACCAGAGCCCTATCCACCAGTCCACTATGTGACCTTCCTAAAAGTAAAGGCTGTTGCTTTTGCAGAAAGCAAAATCTGAATAAACATATTTGTTTTGCACAGACTCACCAACTTTGTTCAGTTTTGTATGGTAGTTATCATTCTCTGCATTTTGTAACATTCACCAAGAAGTCTAAAGGGACTATGGAAAACTAGTTTGGGCCTACATCTTCTCAACTATCCTGTGATTTTTATATAGAAAGAATATACTTAATTTTCATATGTCCTTCTCTTGAACCGATGGACAATAATGTTCATTCAATGGTATGTATCTACAACGGAAGGCACTACAGTAGTGTTACCATATGCTACATGCATCAACCATTATCAGAGGCAATGTATTTAGCATGCAGCTCTTGCAAAATTTATGGTAAAGTCGTGTATGGAGTGACAAAATCAACATTATGAGTGATCTCTATGCAGGATTAAAGAAAAACAAAACCAAAGATGATTTAAAGTGACAAAAAGAAAGGTTAAATCAGTTGTCATATGTTGTTTTTTAATTAAATTTTCAAGTTTCTGTAAGTGTGTTAGAAAAAAAGTCATTAGACAAAAAGATACTTTTAGAGTTACACCCTGACAACTGCTTTGAAATGCAAATGAAAACATGGGATAATAAATGGCATAACAATTTTTATTGAAAGTGGGTTTAAGCTGTTAATACTTGCAAGAATTACTCTTAATTCTGAAATATTTCATTTGAAAAATTAAATGTCGAACTAACAAGCTACCACAGAAAACTGATTTGACATGAGAGGATATATAAACTAATCAGCGTAACAAAGGAAACTCCTCTCAAAGATCTACCTAACTGCTTGTTTCATCCCCAAAAAACCCCACTGAAGGAAAATAAATATATTTAAATTGACTACAACATTACAGGTCAGAATGTATTGATTTGTACTTCCAAAACTGTGGATTACATATTATTTACCTTCCTTTTCCAAACCAGTTGCCAATACATGTAACGACACTTGGCCAGCCAGTAGTTTGCACCAACCCATTAGCTATCTGAAAGTATATAAAAATAATAATAAACAAACATACCCTATAATAATTCAGGTTTCTACATATTTCCTGCCAAATGCTGCATTAGGAAAAGGAAGGCTACACAAATGCTTTTAATTTAGAAAGTTAGTGGGGGGTTTTGAAAGCAATCTTTTCCAAGAATAAACAAGTTACAATGTTTTGCAGAGATTCTTCCCTCTACCTACATCTCTGCAATTATTTTATGATTTAAAACACAAAAGACTGTAATCCAATCACATGCTTACCAAAAATCACATTGCACTGAACTGAACAGAGAAATCAATTCTCCACACTCAAACAGCAATGTAATACTTATCTCAGTTTGAACATATGACAAAACATGTTTGCAAAGTGGAAAAAACCCCACAACTTTAGGAGAGACTGGGTAACTGAACATTAAAATGCTTAAGAAACACCTGTAAATAAGTTGAGGGGAGAAACTTACTGTATTCAGGCTGAAGTAAGAACTAGTTCAGCCTCCATGTTGCACAGATCATAACCCTAACTCATGTCAACTCCTAAAAAGCTCCCTATCTAGTATTACACATTAACACAAAGATCACAGTACAATAATTCACACGTACAATGTGCATTTGGACAGGCAACCAAATAACCTCATTCTACCTAACAAAAAACAATTAGGCTGGTTGTGCAAGACCACCCTTGCTATTATAGGATTCACTGACCACATCACACAGCGCTGCACTGGTAGAGAGAGTTAGCTTAACCCTAAAGGAGCTGGCTCCTGTCTTGGAAGCCACATAAGATCACTGAGGCAGTAACATGCTTAAATGGATGGTTTGGTGAAAGGGTTATAAAAGCTTACAGTACCCAAGTTAGTATCGCTGCATGCCATGTTGCACAATACCATGCAAACGTGCCAGCGGTGAAAGTGCTGCTGCAGTAACACAAAGAAAACAGCAGTGCAAGCTGCAGACGTGTCCAAAATGACTCATAAGTGCTAACCATATCCTGATCCTGACCTAAATTCCATTTTAGGTCAATGGTAAATATTCTTGTTACACCTGATTGGATCTACAATGTGCTCCAAAAAATCCCACACAATGAATCTCATTACGCAAGCTGCCTGTTCTCAGCCACACCAGTGTGGGAGACTGTTCATCATTAGCAGTATAAATGTAATTTTCCTGCAGAGAAAGCCAGGATGTGTCACTCAGGTCTTTGCAAACTGACAAAAGTAAATACCTTTGTTTTAAAACTCTCCCACATTTAAGCTTGCAAAGATTTGATCACTGATTTGACACAGACTGAAACACTTCAATTTGTTTTCAAAGATTCTTTCCACTAAAAAACCCCTCAATTTTTCAGAAATAAAACCTGGGGCTAGCCACTCCATCATTTCTGCCTGTCAACAACAGTGTATGCCAGCATTTACATTCTCCCATCCAACCACTTATCACGGTTTGCAACTGAAAAAAACCCCAATACAACACTTAAAAGCACCATGGAAACTCAAGATTATCTAAATAACATCATGCCTACCTGGGCCATTATGTAAAACCAAAGATTATGTATATTATAGAAATAACCCAATCCAAACATTGCAGTGAAGAGTCCACTAGCAAGCATCCCAACTGCCAGATAGTACCGGATAGGTAGCCGTTCTCCTATTATTCCACTTCGAATGTGGAAAGAAAGAAAGAGGAAAGGCAATAATTAAAAATGAGATCATACCCCAGACCTTCACAGATAGTGAATATTTTGCCTTGTTTAATTGTGTTTGAGGAGAAACTTTATTTGTAACAGCTGTTTTCCTTCACAGCAGCAACTGAGCAATGCTTAGCACTTGACAGAAAGAAACCAACAAACGGTTCAGGTTCACTAATTGCCAAGTGCTAACATCTGCACAACCATCTTTCAGGGAGATACTCACCTGGAGCGCATCAGAAGTCATTTACTGACAGAGTCATTTTCCAAATGACACCTGTAAAGTGGGACATGTCTCCAGCCATTTAAAGTGAGACTTGTTTCCCTTGCCAATAATTCTAGTTATGAAGGTTCTGGTTTTAGCCAACAAAGAGAAGTGCCTCCAAACAGCAGCTAATATTGTACATTTTAAGATGGGTTCCGTATCATTTTCTTGGAGCTGTCTGCTTCTGTCCTTCAACTACAGAGAAAGTCAGGACAATCAGTTTAGTCTATCTACATGTGCAAGTTGGAGACAGCTAAAGTTTGAGGACATATATTCCTTCACATTCTGTATGAAAAAGTCAGGCTAGATTGCAAGTTGGAAAGCATTCCTGCACAAGGCAGCCAGGATGGGTGCAGGTAAGAAATTTTATATATACACCAACAGGTATGATACCACTGGGGACTCAGGATGATGTGTTTTTTTAACTCTGCAACAGAAGTTCTCACTCTCTTCAACAGAAACTTTACAGTAGGAAAGGACAACATCTCAGAAGTAGTACAGCCTCATAAGTTAACAGTAAGAGACAAAGCAGGTTTCCAAGAGAGTGAGGTTTACCTTAAATACATTCCAACTGCATATGCACACAGAAAGGAGTAATCCAATGCTCCCAGTAACTGTTTGTAGTTGTTCTTATCTAAGAACAATTTGCAAAACAAATTATCAGTTTAAATGTACCAATAACTTCCTATCCATTTTTACATATTTCTAGAAAAATGTCAGGGAACTTACACTGACATTTAAATTTTCAATAGGCACTTTTAGACATAAGCATGCATTTTGCAAAACATTTTGACTAAAAAACCCTCTAGAACTGGCACTTTTGCCTGTAATGTATTAGGAAAATATTGGTAGGTCCATTCTTAATTCCTCCTTATTCAAAATGGCATTTTGGAAGAGAAAAACAAATCAGTTATTAACAAGGCATTCTTTTCTTATAGGTTCTTAGACAAAAGAAAACCCAAACTTTAACAGGCTACTAAAAGCAGAAAGATGGGTTGCAAATGTGTGAGGTCCCAACAGTCAAAATGGCCAAAAAAAATCCAACATCAGATAGGCTTTTAAGGAATCAGCTTAATAATGTATATATTTTAAACTGTTAAAGCCTTTTGCATTTCCTTTTCCAACTACTCATAAGACACAGAGATAGAAGTCTTGTTTAAAAAAAACCCCAGGGTTCTGCTCTGTACAGCAAATGACCATAATCACAACTAAATGGGACTTGCAGGATGGAGGGAGCACGAGGGACTCCACCCAAATAGAAACATCAAGTCTAGTCTCAAGAGACCTGAACTCATACCAAAAAAGACAGTTTGTGCATTTGCAAGGAGACATAATTTCCACTGACTTCGAGACTGAAGTCACAGTTACTAAAGCATTTCCCAGACTGGCAGCTATGTGGCCTGAAAAAAAAAGATCTGAAAGAACAAATCTAGAGTGCCATCCCAAAGCAGCTGCTTTGCAATAACCTTTGTGTTCAAGGAAAAAAGGAGGACACTGGAGCTCAGAAGTCTCCATTAAGAAAGCTAACTAGTGTTTTAGACACACAAACTCAGTCTCTCCTTTGTCCAGGGACAAGAAACAGCAACCAAGTTTAATTGCATCCACATACATTTCAAAACCTGTGGGACTAAATAACTTCAGTAGACTGATTACCTTGCAACAGGCAGTTAATACACAGAATTTTGTGCAGAGAACACCCAGAACTCAGATCTTTAATTATTTTTAAACAGAGTAGAACTTTTTAAAAATTGCTAATTAAAGAATAATTAGAATGGATGGCTAGGCTGGAGTGGACTGGCACACTGACAGAATGCACTATTCTACTTCACCGATGTTGTTCGTAGTGATAAAAGTGTCAAGGAATGATTCAAAATCTCTATTCAATTCAAATCAATTAAATTAGAATTTAATTGTAAGGAAGCAAATATTTTTTCTGTTTAAGTGAAAGGCCAGGTTCATAAGCTATTCAGTAAGTTGTCAGCTCTGTTCTGCAATAAAGTCTCCCGTTTTTCTCCATTAAAATGTGGAGAAAAATATTCTTTCTGGCATATAAGGACTCTGAAAAGTTCCAATTTAGATAAACACCAAGTAATTTAATTAAAATGATTGCTGGACCTTGAATCAAACCAGCAGAAAATTATAATTATTTATTTTACTCTTCACCTTTTCTTTAATAGGCATTCGACAATTCCCATTTTCTGACTGAAAACTCATCTACTGAAAGCATCTCATAGCTGTAACAGTTAAAATAATGTCAGTTGTTTACTTGACCTTATATCTTTCCTACTTAAAGTCAGTCACAACTTAATTTTCTTTGGAAAAATCAATGAGAACATGGAAAACAAAGCACCTCTCTCCTGTACACTTGTCCTGAATCCCTCCACACATGAAGAAGAAATATCAAGGGGCAAATAATCTAATTATGACTATGGGTCCATTATTAAGAAAGAAAAAAACAAAACCAAAAAACCTGCCCTTACCGAATGGCTCCCAACCGCACTGAGATACATTAGATGACTTTCTGACAGGCTGAATCTGGACAGCATATTCTTTGTAGGATGTGAATTCAACTTCACGTGAAGCAGCACAATGCTTATGCAGCTCTCCCTGATCCAGAGAGGAAATTTGAAAATGGAAAAATCACTTGACTGTTAATTCCCATACAGCAACAAATTTAACAGTTCTAGCTCTGTATGAACCTGTGTCAAACCCACTGAAATCTAAAATTGTTATCCATTATTAATTGCTGGGTATTTTGTTGGGTGAAGCTACCATTACATGAAAGAGTAATTACACAGTTAGAAACAACATGCTATAGTGAACTGGTGTTTCTAATACTGCAGAATTTAAAAATTCTTCACTAACATCAAGCTACTTTGTCCATTGTTACTCATCACATTGTTATACAGCTCTGGGGGTTTTGATTTGTGTTTGGCAAGTTATACAGGCCAAAGATTAAACTAAAAAACCTAGAATTAGATAATAGTTTGACACCAGCTTCACTGGGAACAGACTCCCAACTGCACAGACAGCTATGACTGTGATACTCAACAGTACTTGGAACAGTCTTGTAAGTGTCAGTAGAATTTTATCACCTATCAGTTATGAGCAACTTCTCTCAAACATATGAATGTGAACCTGTAAACTCTTAAGAAGCTCTAATTAAATTAATTCATATGAATTGTGAATTAAGCGTAGGCATAGCTGTTTCAAGTCTTAAATGCAAAAATTAGAGATATACACAATATTCTAGGTGTGGTCACACTAAAGATTATCAACTAAATGTTACTGTGTACTAGCTTTATCAGTTTTCCATCTTCTAAACCATTCCAAGTTAAACTTTAACATCACCTTTCACAAAAGGAGATACTGAAAAAGACAACTACTTCCGTGTTTAACAAGAGTAGAAGGATGTTTAAACAGGGACATGGTCCTGCTTACCTTAACTATACTAATAGGTTTCCTTGATAAATGGAAGCTGGCATACAACAAGAAAGTGAGAGAGAAAATGAAGGCTCTATACCTACAATATAGAAAAAACAAAAGGAGTATTTGAAAATTATTTTATTCAGATTTAGCACTAAGTTACATAATAACAAATGAATCATTGGTAACCTTGGAATACTGGAAGACAACTTTTTTTCACATTCTCTAACAGTCTGAAGAATGACCCTAACAGTTATGCTGCTTTACAACATCTGCTCTGATCTGGCTTTGGAAGGGAGCTTGGCAGTACACAGGTACAGGCAGGACAACAAGGCAGTGCTCTCGAGTCCACAGAGCTGATCTGCCTTGTTTACAGGCTTCCTTTGGGGCTATCAAAAAGCAGTTCAACATTACTGATAATCAGATTTTGCATTTCACTGTCTCATCCTGTTTTCTGGTATGATTAGGACATAAATGATGGCTCTGTGGATGTCAGTTTGGGTACTGCAGGTTATTACTTCTTTCTTTCCTTACCACGTTTTGCTTTGTCTTCCTCTGTAACAAGACAAATCAGCCATTTCTAGAGATGGATGGGGAACTGACACTGACTGTGTGCACTGTCATCTGAAGCACATGAACCTAATTAACCAGCTCTGGGATTGGGAAGAAATTTTCCTTCTACCTCACTGGCAACCTTGGGTCTTTTTCTGCAGCTCATCTGAATGAAAAGGGCACCTCAAACTCCCTGTCACTGCAAGTGTTAAACAAAGGTAACAATCTGATCTATTCTCTACCTGCAGCACATTCCAGATGTTTAAGAGGGAGAGCATTTTGTGGATTTGTGCTTTTAACAATAGAGACATCAAAGTGTATCTACTGGCTCCTTCTAGCCTTGATCTTAAAATTAACATCTGTAAATAAAAGTACATCTATACATACAAAGACCTGATATCACACAGCCTACTATGGTCCCTAATTTTCAGTTAACCTTTTTCAATCATTGTGTGGCTTATAAACTTTTAGATAACAAGGGTCTTCTTTTATAGTTCTAGCATATTCACAGAGACATTAAAAAAAAAAAGTTATCCTTTGAGTTATTCACCCCTGTAACTGAAAACATCTTCACAAGTAATAAAACTGAAATGACTTTGTCCTTGCATCTCTACCAGAGAAAGCATGTGATAAAATTGCTCAGATGGGAAGTGCTCTTTCCTTTGTTATCTTTTTGTTATTCACACACAATTGACTCAGTATTCTATCTCAGAAAGCAAAAGAACTGATGCCATCCAACTTCCAGGATATTTTCCTAAAGCAAAGAGGTTTTGGTTCAGGTTTTTTTGTCCATTTTGGTTTGTTTGGGACTTTTTAATATTACAGTAGCAGGAACTAAAACTGTAATTCTACAAGTCTGTATTACACATCAAACTATGGGGGAGAAAACACACTTCTGGTTAAGAAAAGAAAAACCTTGAGGACCCCTCCCACCTAAGAATTTGAAAATAAATTCTGAAGTTTATCCCTTCAAACACATACCTTGCAAAGCAAAGGACAAAAGGCTTTATTCTCTAGCACACTTAACTAGTAAGGATCTGTCTGGATTCCCCCAACAAAGTATCTCACTTTTTAAGCATCAGTAATATTTGTTATACAACTGACTATATTTTCTTGCTGTATATATTAAGCAATGAAAAAGCAAAAACAGAGCGAGGCAACAGTATCATCTTCCCCGGATACAAATTCACATTGTCCAAAACAAAGATCTTCACCATACTTTAAGACTTACCACTGATCTCGTGAAAATGAAGTGATGAAGTGAATCCCAGGAGGAAGGCGAGCCATCTACTCTACAGCTGGTATCAAATTTTAGGCAACAAAATTATGTACTTGTGACGTTATCTGTTCCTCAGAACGTAACAAAGATCCTCCCAAAGCTGTGCGATAGCGGGCTGTTAACAAATGTGGAAGATACACTGCTGAGTTGATCTCTCTGTAGGTTTCCTTTCTTATACCTTCAGTCACGACGTGGCAAATTCTTCACTTTGCCTTTGTTAATTGCTGATCTTAAAAGAGAAGCTGCTAAGTAAATGTTCTTATCAAGTTATTGTAATATTTTCCAATCATAACATTTGAATCAGCAGTTACCTATTTCAGAGACAAGTAAATACTGTAATGAACCTTCTAGACATCAAAAACGTAATGGAGAATTTTAAGCCAATAAAAATTGCAGCCTTTTCTGAATTTTATCAGGTACAATCTATTTTGAGAAGTCAGCATAGTATAAAGCAGTGGGGACACAAGGGAAAGATGCAGTTAGAACATGATCCAAAGCCATCTGACATCAAAACACTCACTTTCGTCCCATAAAGACTGCAAATAGGCAATTCCCCACCTTTAACACATCAGAAACATTCATGAGCTTGAAACTTGTTCAAAACTGACTGTAGTGTTTTCAGCCCAGAACAAAGACTCCTCCAGTTTTAAAGTGATGCTGCTGAACAATGCTGCTAGCAAGACTTGACCAGCACTCCCTCTTCCAGTCCAATTTCCCTGCCCCAGTAACAGTGCTGCACAGAGAACCAAATCATCAGAAAACTTGGAAAAGAAAAAAAAACAGAAAGTTTTTTTCACCATTTGAACTCCCTACTTTGGATCATTCAGCACAAGGGAGAAGACAGGCTCACGTGCACACATGACATGCTAGGAAGAGTGAGACTGTGGCAGCATTAATTCAGTTTGGTTTAAAATCTTGTAGAGTTCCTTCTGTTCAAATTTGGACTGAAGACCCTCAACAGAAAAAGACACACAATACTCTTTATTAGAGGTACCGCAACAGGAATTAGCTGCACTGTTACTTCGCAGCAAGTCAGAGCCAACTGTTGAGAAACGTGACAAAAGGCACTGTATGCAAAAGGTGTGACTGCAACTCATGCACGAAAGCCAAGCCTCCCTGTGCGCTAACAGCAGAGACACCCCAGCAGGATGCCAAATAACACACCAGGGTCTGCAACATAACCCCTACCCTCCCAGTAGCCCAGCCAGGGGCTTAACATCAGCACCAGTCACTGCCATGCTCCTGTTGGGAAGCTGGTAGGATGCAAGACTAGCTCTCCTGGTATACCACTGGGGGTGAGCTAAAGCAAAACCTCCTTTGGAGAAAACACACCTGCCTGGTTTTCTCTTAACCTGCGAATTTTAGAGGCTGCCACAGGGCAGGCAAAGGTGTGAGCCTCTCTCCTCTCCTCATTGCATCATCTTACTACAGAAATTAAAACTACTCCTCTTCAGCCAGCTGAATGACAACAGCAAACACTATCTACCATGTCAAAGCTAGCAACCCAAAAGCTTTGCTATTGACACAGGCTTTTCCCCCCGGAATGGTGGAAAATTACTACCTCTTCAAATAACAGAGTACCCCACCAAAAGATCAAGGGTCTACTCCTTTATGTTAACACATTTTTGTCATACCTTCATTTTTTCCACAGTGTCCTGGTTCAGCTTGACACCTCCCGCCCCTAAAAGTGAATTGACTTGCTAATCTCGTTTGGCATGTTCCACCTCACCTTCCTCCTCCTCCCTCCTCCCCCCCCGAATCAGATAACTGGTTGTGCAATTCATCACCAAACATAATCATTCCCACCCAACATGAGTTTCCTACCTCCTCTCTGAGGTTACAGAGGTTTGGGAAAGTGCAACCTTACATCCTCCTGCCTTCTCCCCACCCCTCAGCTGCAGGTCCTTGCTTCTCTCTTCCTCAGACCTTGCAGTGGTACAGTGATGGTTCAGGTGACCGATCCATCGGAAAACCTGCCCTAAAAGTGTGCCAATCCAGTAGAGAGTATTAACTCACTCTGTGGCTACAAAACTGCTACATAGAATGAATCCAAACCAGCAGAAGCATAAAGGCAGGGTCTAAAGTTGGGACTGCCCCTTATAGCCACAGTTAGCTAGTTAGGTTTGAAATTAGAGTTCAGCTGACCAACAACTGCTTGTCAGTAATTTTATGTTTGGTTGAAACGAGCTGTGGATAGCTTCAGTGTAAGAAGAAAAATAAAAAGAAAGAGGTAGGCACAAGCAGCCCATAGTACAAGTCAAGTTTTTCTTCCAGCAGTAACAGATTTCTTTCAGGGTGATCCCAAAGCCCATTTCCCCTCTCTCACAGTTATCCCAAACAATATTATTAACTGACCACACTAAGTGAGGTGACAGAAATATCTACTGGGAAAAAACTGATAGACCAGCAAAGAACAAAAATCTGAGGTCATAAAGCTCTTGAGGAAACAGTTCTCTTAAAACATAATGGGACAAGGCAACTGTCATCATAGAAAAGTAATTGTTTAAAAGGTTACTATTTAACAGCTTTAGCGTAAGCAGAAAAAGACTTTGCGCACCTTACAAAAGGTTTCATAGTTAAGCAGTCACACAAGGTTGCACATCTGTGCACCTGCTGCACAGATCATACTCACACCATCTCCTAACAGTGTATCTTTGCTATAAATCCGGAGTCACAATATCCTAGCAAAGACAACTGGACTATCAGCAGCGTTTACAGAACTGCATCCTAACTCTATTTCACAGAGACTGATTTCATTTTATTTACTGCAGGCAGAGAGACCCAAGTTCTCATTTACTCATCAACAACTTACCTCTGTCCCCATATATCCATAAGCTCCTCTGACGTTCATGTGCTTTTAATAAATAAATAAAACTTCCTCCACAAAAGCAATGAAACTTGTGGCAATAAAACTTCTGGTAACAGCTTATAAAGATCACATCCTGCTGTAGATTAAACTAAATTTTAAAACCAAGCTATTCTCCAGAAATAACATTAACAGGCTACAACACATAATTAGTAGTTTACCAATATATCCTTTATATTTCTGTTTTACTAATGAAGCCCAAGGACAAACTCCAAACAGGTTTTATGTTCTTTCATTTTCAGCAGCCATTTTACCTGAGGGTGAATAGAAACACTTTCGCTTTCTCCTTGTACTGCAACATATAAAGCAGTATTCTGGTACTTTGAATCCATATTTACCTTCCAAACCTTGTATTGCTTCTTCAGGCTCCCCGCTGCACTGGCTCAAACATAGCTCCCTCCCTGTTTCAGGAAAATACAGCCATTCATGACTGGCCTCTACCACCGCAAATACCGCAGACCTTGGCTCAGCTGTGCTGCGCTCTGGAGAGACAGAGCGAAGCTCCTGCCCGGTTCCCCTGGAGGGCAGGCATTAAGCCCCGGTCCCGGTCCCGGCGGGTGCGCCGAGGCGCTTCACTGCAGCGCTGTGAGTTGCCTACCTGAAATGCGCGAAGGTATTTCTCGTGGCAAACCGCAAACGTTAAGAAACCACGCAGCAGGTCATCTGAAAACTGATGAGAGAATTCGGTGCTGCTTCTTTTAAAAAACAAGTATTATTTGCCTCCTGGATTCCTGATCCTGCAGTGCGTTTTCATTTTCTGAAACGATATCCGTTTCAAAGCTTGCTTATTTATATAAATGCATACTTCCAGCTGCAGGTGTATTTCTTTATCACAACCACCTCACTAGTGCTGATAACCCTACACTGCTTACTTCATCCAAAACTGAATAGCTGCTAACAGTTACCTTGTGCGGGTTTTAATTTATCTGTATAACTGTTTGTCCTTTGTGGGGTACCACCTGCCTGGCACAAGCAACCCACTTAAGGCACTCGCTAAAATGTTCAGTTTTGTCTCTTCCCTCTCATCTTGCACTGCCTGTGCTGGCAGTATCAATAAAAGAAACAGACTCCCAGTGTGATATTACTTAAACCCCACATTTCAAACACTTAGATGTAGGCTCAGCTCTGGCCCACAATCCCAGTGGCATCTTTCCTTCACTTTCTCCCAGTTACTAAAGAAGCCCTTCACGCTTACAATGACATCTGCAGAACCAGGGTCTCAGAGTTGCACCCAGACAGTTGCAAATACAGATGCATGTTGCACAGTCTTCTGTATTTAAGCCTGTCACTGGCAGATGTTGTTTCCAGCTCAGGCTCACATCTTTGTAGCTGAGGCCGAGTAGTGACTTGAGAATTTTGAAAAATAGTCTTCACATCATCTCCCCACATGCCACAAAATTCCTGCTTGAAAAGATAATGCACTGCTCTTATCATCAATTTTGTGTTCCAATGAGATAATTTTGTTTTGCAGATAAAAGCAAAAGCCGCTACTCAGCATCAGAAGGTCTCACATTAGCACAGCTTTCACAGAAGCATCCTGTAGTATGAGACAAACCACAGTTTCATCCCATGTCTTGGGGAAAGGACAGTGCATAGCTTCTTTTTGACAATACAGTCCCATGCCCCTTGTGAATCCAAAATAAAAATCTGTCCCAAACCCTCACCAGCTCAGCTGAAAGGGCTGATGCCCTGGGCAGTAGGACTAAGTTTATCTGACTCATAACACTTGTAGGTGGCGCATAAACAGGCATGTTCCGGAGCTGCTTTAGCTCTCCACATTAACTGTCCCCTGTATGATCGTGCATGAACTGAAGAAGGAAATACTTCAAGCCTCTTTATTCTTCTGAGCAGATGTATCATGGATATTCCATTGTCTTAGGAAGAGGGCATTTGTTCTCTGGGGTGAAAAAGCACACTCTAACATCAGATATAGATGAGGTAGTTACAGACAGAGCAGAGCATCTATGTATGTTGATGTTTGTCATTTCTGCTGTAACAACCGTTTAGCAGAGACAAAACTAGTCGTGAATGCTCCTCCAAGAAGAGTCATTTGCATGAATCATGTGGCTGCACTCTTGCACCAGCACAGGAAGGCACCCAGGCACCATCTATTCTGATGCGTGTGCGCACGTGCACACACACACACACACACACATGAAGATTTGTCTCTTTACAGTGGAAAAGGTCAGACCCATCACAGGGCATTTGTTTGTATGCATGATTAGTCATCTCAAATTATCACATGGAATCCTCATATCTTTTAATTTGATGTTGTCTTGGCCCTTTTTAAGTTCCTTAAAGAGTTTAACTTTGCTTGAATATCTTTCTACCTTCGGTAACAAGAAACCTGCAAAAATCATGAGCCAAACAGCCAGAGAACCCCCTGATATTTTTCCTACTTAGAATAGAAACTTAATCTCCTATTAAAATAAATGTCATTTATAATCCGTTCCTCTAACATCACTGAAACCTGCTGGCCACCACACCTGGCACAGCTGCTCTCTCTGCTGTGACAGTGCTGGTTACCAGCAGCTACAGTTTCCAGAAGCCATCAAATAAGTAAAATGGCAGAGAGAAGGAGCAGCATGAGTTTATGCTGCTGGTTGCACAACAGCCTGCTGCTGTAGAGCATGGAAGAGGGCCAGAGGTGTGTGGGAGACCAAAGGAGGTCTACACCCAGATAGAGCTGGTTACAGATGGTCACAAAAAAAGGAAAAGGTTACAAAACAGAACACAAAGAAACATTTTTTAAAACAACTAGGTAATCTAGAGCCTAAAAAAAAAAAAAAAAAAAAAAAATTTGCCAGCTCCTTTGTAGAAGGAAGTACAAATGAAGGATATGGTCCAGGTGGTATTGGGTAACGAGCATGGCAGCAGCTTGGCTTTCTAAGCCTCTCGCAAGGTTCATACTAGAGGAAATAGAAAAGGGTTTGTTCTTGTCTGCAAAACCAAACAGAAGTAAAGAAGTATGAGTTGACAGATGCTTACGTATGCTTCTGCTGGCACTTATCTCAGAAAAGATAATCTAATTTCCTGGTTGGCAGTTAAATTTTACTTCCACTGAGCAAGAGTGGTGCTCTTAACTCCTCAAGTCCTGACATAGCAAAACACTTTCAAGTTAGTGGATGTCAGCATAGTTCTTTCCTTTGCTGAATAGGTGTTGCTGGCTGAACAGAGGCCTGAATGCAGATTTTTGCATCCTTTAGCTGATCAATGTATTTCATTTTCTTCCCAGTAAATTGCACAAGTATATTTTATGATTCATAACTGCACAGATGGAAAAGGCTAATCTGTTTAGCCACTGAGTGATCTCTGTCTTAGGGGATCAGAAAAGTTCATAACTTCTTTAGATGATAATGGGTTGTTATATAGTGTTCTACTATAATATATAAAAAATAAGTATTTACTTAGACTTTATTCCACTCAAGTAGCAGGATTTTCAGGACTGATACAATTACAGCTTTTAGTTGCCTTTATTAGTTTTACATGCTTTGTTTTCCCAACAGAGCAGCTGCAATATTGTATGAGCAATTCACATCAGCAATGGGTGCAATCCAAGTATAACCTGCCATGGAGTTTTGCCAGACAAAGAAAAAAAAAATAAAAATCCAATAGAGCTACAAAATGAGAGGCTGTGAAGGCTATGCCTGTATGTATGGGAGTAGGTAGGTATAGCCCTGCTGCATCTATACTCAGAAAGGGCTGGAGGTAAGCCAGCTGTGGTCTGGAATCTATCTAGCTGAGTGAGCACAGTATGTCCTGCCTGTTGATGAGAAATTTTAGTGCCGGCACAGTGCCACGCTAATATGACTACATAGTTTCCAGACTGGTACTTTCATCACATCTAGCTTGCCAGAAAGCTAGCGAGAATCACCAGTCAGTAGCTTTGGGGGAAGAGACCAGCAGACAAAACCCCTGTGCCAGCACAGCCTTTTCCCCAGCCTGAGCAGGACAGTACCTGAGTCCTAAAGGCTACTGATGAAGAAGAAAACCTATAGCACATGGAACATGGAGAGGGAAGGGCAATAAAACTGCCTCCTACATAAAGACAGATATTGTTATGACTGCAGGAGACATTTAGGAATAATGGCATTTCTTTGAACCCTGTGAGATACCTGTCAGTCTCTGGTTCCATTCAGAAAAATTAGATCAGTGGTGCTGACAGTATGCTACTCTGACTCTCCCCATGGCTTTCCAGAGGGGTGGAGAGTGGGACTGTTAAATCACTTCATGACATCTAAGGAAAGATCTGTTAAAAAAGTGGTTATAGCAACAGTGGTGTCTATTGGGGTAGGAACTACTGGAGGGAGGGAGTCCTGGGCAGAATCGCTACATGTGACCCATTGCTACAGTGGCCCCTGTAGCTAGGATGGAGGTTGCCTGGTTAGAGACCCGGATCAGCTCTCATACTTTCAGCCACCTGCTCAAAGAAAAATAAACAAGAATGTGCTGCAAATGCAAAATTTAAAAAACCATCACTATGCTGTATTATTATAAATGGAATCTGTAAAACAATATACAGACCAACTTTCACTACAAAAAACAACAACAAAAAAAACCCACAAAACACAAAACAAAACAAAAAAACCCCAAAAACATCTATTCTGAAGAATTTATCTTGAATTTAATTCTGCTTCCTGCAGGAAATGGGAGAGTTTCTCTTGTAACTTTGTCCTTATTTCTACTCTTCTTAAATTTCCTGGAGAGCTGAAGTGGAAGTGCAAGAAATGACTACAGAAACAATTGCTATGGAGTAAACAGATTGAAATAGGCAGGTAGACTAATAGATTTCATTTTTCCATGTTTGCAGACTTGATCACTGGAGGGTAGTTATATGAGAAGGGAGGACTCAGGCATATTTTAATAGAAGTCAAATACCAGAACAGTTACAAGTAATGTTAATATAGAAAGCAGACCAGAACAGAGAGTTTACACTAAAGCAATTGCCTTGCAAGTTGTGCGTAAGAAGATGAAGTATGAAGGTATTCAAGCTGACAGGCATAACGAGGCAGCAAATCAGTCCTATCTACCTCAATCATTTCATTCTTCTCTATTGAATTAATTCTGAGTTACCAGGTTAGGACTTCAGATAGTGTGGACAAAAGGACTGGGCTGCTTTAGCTTTATGTCATTACAAGCTATCTCTAAATAAAGAAGCTTACATATGGGTTTTTGTTTATTTAATGAAACTAAATCCACTTCCAGAGAAAAGTAGAGAAAAATGTAATATTAACACTGCTTTATTCTTATACCGACCACAAGATATTTTTTCATCTCATGAATGCCAGCTGCTTTCTTGGTAACAATAGTAACAATGACTGTCGTAAAAGTCTTGAGAAAAGACATTAGCAACAATTTCCTAAATTGAATAGAACTCACCTGCACATATCCCTATTACACTTTAGTGGAAAGGGACACCCCTTAGGTAAAAGAAAAACTTGACAATTTTCCTGTATGTCTGAAGAGTGGAATGCACTCTGTACTTCAAAATGAGCAGAAAGGTCAGAGAAATTGGAGGCAGGGTATAAATACAGCAGAACACTTTCCCTTGGATACTTTGCAGGAGGGAATTGAAAGTTATATTTAGCCAAGATGCTAAAAAGTATTACTGGCATTTCAAGAATGGCTTTCATACAAACTTTTTCTAATCATCCCGCCTCCGGGATATCTCAATGTTAATTGCACTTGGAGGAGGCAGTTGTAAACTGAGTGGCTAGAAAGGTCATTTACTAGTTTTTCTGGCTTGGTTACGAGCACAAAAAGAGGCCATCTCTACTTGGCATACAGACATCCTAAGCAGCTTTCATTTTGCTTGTAAAGGGCTTAAAAAGAGCTATGCAAAGAGAAGTTCCCATTTTGCAAAGGATTTTGACATTTTTGGAATCTGGCTTCATTCTGAATTTGAGGGAAAAAGAAATACATGGAAGTTAGACATGGAAAGTTCTACTTTTTCCACTGTTTTCTCCCATAATCTAAGGAATTATTTTGAATTCTTTGTGTCTGATAGTATATATTGCAGAATAATAAAAAGACCTGAAGTGTATATTCCTAAACAAGAACTCTCCTTTAGATGTTATTTTAATTCCCTAATCCCACAGTTTTCCTCCAAAAGGCTGATGAAATCAACCTGTCTTATATTTAAGTTTCAAGAGGAAGAGAGCTGATATCATTAAGTTTTTCCTGAGTTGTAAACAGCAGTTTAACTCTTTGCTAGTATCTCATATTGGCCATTCAGTACACTAGACTGTGGTTTTGGCTTTTGCAAGGAGGAAGGTATAAATGACTATCTTCTAAGAGATAACTTCTAAGAGATTAATATTTCTCTACAGATTTCTATTCTTTAAATTCCTGTCAGAAAAGATAATCTTGCCCAGGTCTGCCCTACCAAAAGCAATAAATGGTCATTTACATCTCTAATTTATGCCAGACCAAAGCTCAGACTGACTCAAGTGCCCAAGGACTGGCCCTCACAAAGTAACCAGCTCTGTCAGTAATGATTGAACAGTATGTGAAATGAAGAAACCAACCTATGAATCAGGCAATTACCTCCACTCTTATGTCAGAATTTGAAAAGGCTCCTAGAGCTACATCGCTGGCGGGGCAGAGAAAAGGTATTGCTCCTGAAAGAAGGATGCGTGGTGGGCCAGGGGCATAGAGCAGAGAGCTCTTAGAGGGCAGGAATGCCTATGTGCATGTAGCATGAATTAAGAAGCACGCCACCTTTACCACATCAGAGGTTATGTGTGTACCCTGATGTATTTTCATCACCCGTTTGAAGCTAGACACTGATTGCCATGTAGGAGTGAAAAAACAGTACTGTCGTTTCTAATGTTCATTGTGCAACGTGTTTTCAAAGCTCAGTCAGTGCTGGAAGGAGCCCCCGAGGCCAGGCCTGGCACAGCAGCATTTTCCCTGCAAAACCTCTGCACTGCCAAAAGCCTCCTCCCTCCTACCACAGGGTAAAGTCCAAAGAAAGCCAGGAGCATAGTGGGCCTCAAAAGTGCCTTTTGGCCATTCCTCCCTACAGAAGGGCTTTCTGGCTAAATTCAAAGTGAGGACCTGCAAAGCAGGAAAAAAGGACATCCCAAGCTGTTCTCTCCCACAGGAGTCACCCTTTGGGGTCCTGTGCCTAGCAGCCTTTTGCTTTGCTGTGTCACTGTCCTTCCCTGTTCGTAAGCGCCTCTGGCAGCAACATCTTCGGGTTCCTCTGAAGCTCTCTGTACCTGTGGGGCTTCTTGCTCAAACTGCAAACCAGAAGCTTCTCCAGGGCAGCCTGCAGCAATGGCAGCTGCTGCCCTCTCCTGCCAGGGTGACTGGCAGTTGCTGGCAGCAGCTGCCAGCTGAGCCAGCAGTACGAGCAGAGCAGATAATCAGTGCATCCACTAACCCTCTTGGGCCTTTTTCCAAATGAAATTTATATGCAAGTTCAGAAGGACCTGAAGAATATTTATGGTATTATGTTGTTTCTTTGATGGAAAAGGAAAACATCAAGAAAATAAGGATAATAGCAGCCCTTCTTTCAATAATAATATCCTTAAAGCTTAATTTTAATCTGACATTGAATCACCAAAATGGAACTGGAAGACTAGAAGCTACAAAAAATATCCTCCTTGTTATTAATTATATGCATCCGTATAAGCTGTAGTTGTCCTCACAAGACAATTTCTAGGTATAGAAAACCTTACGTGATAAACCTCCTTCATTTAGGTCAAACTGTGTGATGCCGACATACAGACATTTGTGCTATTTGCCACATCTAGATTCAGAGCAGTTTAAATTTTATAAAGAAATAGTTCTTGGCTGTTTCCCAAGAAAAGTGAACTGTTCCTCCTTCAGACCCTTTCCTCCTTCAGGACTCTGAAACAACACAGAGAGCAAGAGCAGTTAGTGATGACCAGGGGGAGTGTCTCTGACAGCTTGTCACTGCTTCCTGTTTGTGTCACAGCTGTTCCCTGGGCCACGTCAGCTGTGAAGCCAAAGGACACATCCGGTTATTTTTGTCATCAAGTTTAACAGGGAGCACCTCTATATGCATCCTGAACATATTTTCCCTTACAACTCTGAGCCACAGTGTCTGCTTAGAATTAATATGCTGCTCATGGAGTAAGTAACCAGTTTGTAATTAGAGACATTACCTTACCGTAGATAAAAGAATTAAGCCATCCATAGGTGAAAGAAGAAACTTGGGCATCATCAAGACTGAGAAAGTAGGAAATGAGCAAACTATGCTTCAGGTCACATACACTCACATCCAGTTCTGCAGGAGGGAAGCAATCGGAGCAGTAGTTTACATACCCTGCAGTTACTCATTAACAGCACAGCCACTGTTATGCAAATTAGGCTTCCCTAGTCAAGTGCTGGGGATGTGCAGGAAAGAGAAATAACTATACGATTTTGAGTCAATAAATATATAGCTTCTTAAAGCTCTGTCAGCTAACGAAATTGAATGTCAGTGTTCTTAAATGTTTCCAACAGAAAGCACTCTGAAATTACTAACTGGGTGTTAACTTGGAAGCCCAAATGCTTCCTATGAGCTAAGAACAGGATGGTATTTGGCAATAGTTCTCTTCTTTTTTCATCTTTGCCCAACTGAAAACAAAAAGACACATATGCCACATAAGTGACATGTCTTAATAAATAAATGCTATTATTGTCTAAATACTGAGTATTCAGATTCCTTCCTATGAAAACTAAGGAAATTACCTGAATATATGACATATCTTTGTATAGAGACAAACCTGTTTTTCTTCTCATTTTGGTGGTAAAGATTTGACCTAGGGTATAAGGTGACCTCCACCATGTTTTCCAACCACTTGCCACTCCTTTTGCTGCCTACCTCAGAAGCCTCACCTCCTCTGACCAGTGCTTAGGTAGCCAACAGCTTTTTACCACACATACCATCGTGTGGCTCTTCTTGTAAAACCTCGGCCATTAAATTACTGTTCAAGGTGACAGCGAGGTGATTTGCTTGACTCCTGTATCAGTGGCAGGCCCTGAGTCCTGCCCAGCTCCTGCAAACACTGTGAAGCTGCTGCTTTGCAGAGGGGTGAAACACCACTTGCATTCAGCAACCCATTCTCAATATCTGTGGGAGGTGGGCATGAGCTATAATACAGTCATCTTCAACTCCCTTAGCTGAGGTAGATTTTTAGGGCATTTTCCTCTGTAAAGAAAGCACTATCTTGCATTGGGGCAAGCAAGATCTTTTAAAAGAGTGATTGTTTTTGAATACTGTTGCTCACATAGGAAACATTAAAAAATGCAACATAAAATAAAAAGGAGGTCTTTTCTGTGTGGGGTATTGTTGATGATTAATATGGACTGAGGGTGGCTATGATATATTATCCCCTCTCCTTTTCCTTGTGAGCTACTCCCTTCTACTCTTCTTGCCCTTTTGAGAAAGGAGAGCCCTTCTCTTGCCTCCCTGCATTCATTTAGCTGTAATCATATTAGTATGGGAGGCTCTTGACTGGCTGAGGTGACTGAACTTGTCATCAAGTTATGTAGATCACAGCTGAAGCTGACTGAGTAGAGGGTTTTGGAGAAAAGTCAGAATACAGAGACTTTCCTACATATTAAGATTATAGAGAATTATTGTTACTAAAAGAAAAAAAAATAGCAGAAGTGTAGTATGTGTGAAAGCAGAAGATGCCTGATCATGGACTCGTCATTCTTCTCTTTATAGTAACTTGCTTAGAACTGTGCAACGCCCCTGTCACCACAGCAGCCGGGGAGGAGCGGGAGGGAAGCGGCCGCCGGCCGCCGGCGCCTCGGGCAGCGGGGGGCAGCGCCTGCGGGGAGGGGGAGAGCGAACGTTAAACCCCCGGGTATGCCGGCCGGGCCCAGCCTGGGGGAGCTCCCGCGGCGCTCCCTCGGTGGGCACGGGACTCTGGGAAGCGGGGCTGGGCCACGTCAGTTGGGACCTGCCTCACTTTCTCTGCCGGGTAGCAACAAGTCATCCATCCGTACCTTCCAGCCCCGGGCCAGGAAGGGAGGGAAGCCTCTGGGTGCCAGGATCTGGTGAAAGCGTCCTCGTAAGCAGAACAGGTGTTGGCCAGATGCTCCTGCAGTCTCCGATTCAAGACGAATTGGGGATGTTTTGAGCAAAGACCTGTTTTCCTCTGTCTAATGGGGTTAGGTTCAGTCGGGTGCAGCCCTCCTAAACAGTTTTTTTCACATGGGATTAGGAGTATGATGGTGAACGCAATTCAGAAGGTGAACGACATGGACATGGAAAAGCACGTCTACCCAATGGTGATACATACGATGGAGAATATAAGCATGGTCTCAGAAGTGGACAGGTGAGACAGTGACAGAAGGCAGCGGTAGTGCTTATGTTTAAGCAGTTCTGTTTGTTTGGGCACCATGCTAAAACAAGAGTGAGAACTGACAAGTATTTTATCTACACCAAATATGTTTCAGGGGACCTACAGATTTAAAAATGGTGCTTACTACACTGGACAGTATCTTCAAAACAAAAAACATGGCCAGGGTGTATTTTTTTATCCAGATGGATCAAAATATGAAGGTAAAACACTGAACACAGTTGCAAGGATTTCTGTAACTGAAAGGACACATTCCCTCTGAACCCCACCCCCCTCATCCCCCCACGAACCCTCTAAATGCAAGGAAATAGTGAATTGAGAATGTGTTCTTCTAAGATAATTTTGCTGTTAAATGTTTCCCTTTTATCCACCTTTTTTTTTACTATAAGCTTTGAGAAGTGTGGGTTTTATATATGGAGATTTATGTTGATTATTGTGAGAAGTGTGGTGTTCAGCAGTGGTTTATTCTTGTCATGTCCTCCTTTCAAGTGGGGTGTTCCAAGTCCTGAGAAATATTAAGTATCTTTTACAAATCAGTACAATCTTCATAGAAGAGAGTATAGTTACTTATTTCTGAATGATGATTAGAACCACAGATATGTTCAGTATAAAGAATTTAAGGACTTTATTACGTCCAATTAAAAAAAAATACTGATTAGAGCACGCACTTACTCAGGGATTGGGATGTCTCCGAAGTTTGAAGAGCTTGAAACTTGCATTGTTTCTCTTCTTCCAGAAGAGTACCTGAAACACCCTGAATATCAGTTAGGCTTCAGGGGACAGTACTTTCCCCTCTCTTTTCTAAGCTAGGCAAGAAAGAACATTCACATTGTGAGAGCTAGAAGCAGAGAGCAAAAAGAGCAACCCAATTTTGCTTTACAGGACCTTATGCACCGGTGGTTTGTTTTGTTTTGTTTTGGTTTGTTCTTTAATTTCTTCTATGTTTGAATAGAAGACCATCCTTTTGAATATATATGCTCCATGACTGACAGGACAGTTTTAGCAAATGAGTCAAACTAAAGGAGTCCCTTTTTTTTTTTTTTTTTTTTTTTTTTTTAATTGAAGTGGAAATGTCACATTATCTAATGCAACTGTAATACATTACCAAATTTAAAGGTAGGAACAGGATGTTACATGGCTTCTTGTGTTCATGATGGTAATGGAGAGTGATAATGGAAACAGACTGTGATGGACTAAATGAAAGGGAGGTCAGGCAACTATATACATATGTGTGGAGAGAGACAGAGAAAAAAGAGCAAGGGTTTAGAGTAAAGAATCACAACAGTGCCATAGCTTTATTTTCCTTCTCTAATAATTCACGCATGATAACTTTACAAACTGAGCTCTATATCACACAGTGAAATAAACCACGTCTCATAGTTTTTATTGTATTTTCATTAAAGGCGACTGGGTGAATGACCAGAGACATGGCTATGGAGAGTATACGTATGCAAATGGAGACACCTATACTGGAGAATGGTTTAACCATAACAGGTTTGTTTTGTTCTTACAGTGATGTTTCAAGTCACTCAGTGGTATTAACATGCCAAGGTCATTTTCAAAGCATGGCTGACAGCAGCAAATCAAGAGCTACCAGATGACCTTGGGAATTTAGTCCAACTTGAGTCATTTCAGCTACTTAAGTAATACAGTTTTAATACCTTACTTATCTTAAATTCTTAAAATTCAGTAATGTAAAGCAAAACTATTATTTTCTCCTTAGGCACGGGCAAGGTACATATGTCTATAAGGACACAGGATCTAAGTATGTTGGTGGCTGGGTAAATGGAATCCAGGAAGGAGAAGCTGAACTTATCCACCTAAACCATAGATTTAAGGGCAAGTTTTTAAATGGCAATGTAAGTGTGCTGGAAAGCTCTCTATTCATCTGAACAGTTAGCATGGAATTGCCTTAATATGATATGTTTCCACTTAAAGTAAGAATCTAGGCTCCTGATCTTTTGTAGTATTTCTTGTACCATAAGTGTAACATGAAATGGAATCAATCTGTAGGACAGAATGCAAAGTTTCTCTGCAACTTTGCTTTCAAACTATATTATTATTGACTTTGCATCTTGTAATAAAGCATATTTTACATTTAGATGCTTAGTATGTATTAACTTTATAGTTCTGCTGACTTTTTTGTATCTTTGTGCAGCCTATCGGTCGTGGCAAATATGTCTTTGATATTGGATGTGAACAGCATGGTGAATACATACAATCAGAGCAGGTAAAAGAAATAGTGCAAATTATACTGAATATCAGAGAACTCGGTAAATCAAATCTATTGTTGAGTAATCTATAAAATGGCTTATAGACCTTGATGTTAAAATGGATCTAATCAGTCAAAAAAGGGTAGAAACTCATGCATTCTTAAGAACCAAGTGAGGTTTCATTTTGCTTTTTTCTTTAGCTTCTCTATTGTGTAAGCTTTGACAAGTACAAGGTGTGATTTTTGCACAACTTGCAGACAAGAGTCCTTTCTGCTTAAAGTTTAGAAGAATCTGGACCTTCCCAAAACATTTGGAGTTTCAAAACACAGAAGAATGTAGATCTATTTGTCCTTACATTTAGCCTATATTCCACTTTGTTCTGAACACCAGAAAACAATGGTAAATATTTCTTCTCATATTTCAGAATTACTTGATGCTATGCATACAAATGGTAATTTGCAGCAGCTTCATGTTTTGGAAATGTGTCCCATTGTTGTCCTGGTATCCTGGTAATATCCACAGCTCCTAATAATTGTAGGAAACAGCTGGGATCAGGGCCTGGTTTTTCTTCTCCTTCATGCATGAATGTTTTGAAATGTTTCTGATTAATGTGGTGCAAAATAGCTGTGGAAATAAGAAACATATCTTAATATTACTGGTTTGATTTCAAGAAAATAAGCCACATTTTAGCTTAGAGTTTGCTGCCTCTGCTGCCTGACACATTAGTTCCCATTACACACTCTGAAAATTCTCCAACGCAGCAATTGCTTCTTAAGGCAAGGACAAAATAATTATAAAAAAATTCCTGTTGTTAGTGATAGAGATTTGTAAAATATGGAGACTGTTTTCCTTTTTTTGGCTAAAAGCAAGAGATCCTCAAATTAAGTATCATGTTCATATGAGTATCCAAAGTGATGTGTATTTAGTATCCTCAATTCTGTTGGGAATTGTTGAGGCAGAGACCTGTTTTGCCACTCTGTTCCTGTGTGAGATAGACAGCGTCACATCTACCAGACACAGCATCAGGTCTTATTTGCCACTGGTACGCTATAGCCAGGTACAAATGAGGGGACATAGTTGATAGGCCTCTTGCAAACATTCTGTTTAAGGGAGGGACAAAATTTTACCTTAAAGAAAGCAAGCTGGCAAACACTGATCATTAGTAATAGTCAACTGACTTCATCCAGGTTTAAAGTGTTGTTCACTTCCAAGATTTGTGGCTACTGAAGTTCCTCTGCCTGTAAATACTTTTAAATGCCATGTCATTGCTGCTTTGAGCCCAGATAAAGAGGTTTTAGTACACAAAACTATCATCTTAGTTATTCCCTTAATACCTTTAAGACGAGAGGCTGAATTTCATGAGTTGTCTTCTAGGATAAAGGAGAGGAAGAGGAGGAATCCTCATTACTCATTGGACCAAAATGGAAAGCATCAGAAATTACGAAATTAACATTCTGGACTCCCAGTAGGGAAAACCCACCTTCTCCCAGAGAAGCCTCCCTAGAGGCAGCAGCAGCAGAAGCAATGGAAGAAAGAGCAGCAGCAGCAGTAATTGAAGAGAAGACAATACCATCAGTTGAAGGTTTGTTCTGCTGGACAGATGGAAACTCTGTGTTTTGACTATCCCCTGAAACTGTGTTTTTCAGGTTTAATATCAAATAGTGTGAGAGGTTTTTTGTTGGTGTTTTTGTTTTGTTTTTTTTTTTTCTTCCTTATAATTTACTACATATCAAATGACAGGAACTTCCAATTCAGTTCACAAACTGCAATATATATGTGTCTGTTTTATCTCGCATAGCATAATGAGACACAACTGTCTTGGGAAGCCTGTGAATTATTTTAGTCTATATCATGGCCTGTTATACAAACTTGATTATAAACAGTTACAGAAAATTTTATGGGATTTCTCATGTGGGTAAAGACTGCAGACTTTGGTAGGAGTTATTAGCTACTGCATGAAAACAATGGCAGAGTACAAATTTGTAAAAATTATTTTTGTTCTGTATTTCTAATGTCTCACATTTCAGTCACTGATGAGTCTGCTGAGGGTAAAGATGATGAGCCTTCTCTTCATGAAGCATCCAGTGAAGTTTTTAGCCCAGGAAGGGATGCAGGAGAAGAATATGAGGGAAGCAGAGAGGAAGAAGACAAAGATCAAGAGAATCCAGGTGAGGAATGGGACACACATGCTCATTCTTCAATCAGAAATCAGGGTTTGAAATGATATATGTCAATCAGCTGAAGTCATGCTGCTGCTGTGAGAGGTCCATTATCAAGCTGAAGAATCTCTACCTTTCATAAGGGGGGCAGTCTTCTATAGATGTAAATGGTTTTGAGTAGTCAAGTTCATATACTATAACAGTACAAATTAGAAGTGACACTTCTGTGCAGTATCTATGCATGTACAGTTGACAGAATTCACAGAGCTGAGTTTGTAAGTGACTGCATTTGCAAACTTTTTATCGTGAAAAATGAGAAAGAAGATTTTAGACCCTGGGAAATTTTCAGGGCATTTTGAGCACTCTACTTTTCTCTCATGAATGGAACTGTGTAATCTTATTGTCTCAACTGAACTGAAGCAGGCAAAACAAATCTGAAGAAACTAATTTCAGGTATTGCTATGCATCATGGTTTGAACAGTCTGAAGTTGATTTGCTTCTCCTACAAGCCAAAGAGATTTGGAATTCAGATGTTCAGAGTTTTTTCCATGCAGTTCAGAAGCCTGTTTTAAGTATAAAATACTAAGAAGCAACAAAAGGATGCATCTATATTCATGCTATATAGGCCTATAGGCCTCTGCATAATTGTATTGTTTGTATTTACTAAGTGTTAAGAGTTACAAGCTCACATATATGATGTATGAAAACATAAGATAAATTTATCCATTTGTAATCAGTCCATTTTACAATAAATCAAAGCAAACCACTATCCATAGGGATCTGAAAGACTATTAAACCATGTGAAAATGCCTGGAAATATACAGTAAACGTTTAGGTCAGCTCTTGGAATTTTCATAGTTTATTTGCTCTCATTTTTTACCCATCACCTCTGAAGGTGCTCTCCAGCTTCAGGGCAGACTGGCCAGCTAGCTGATCTGATTTGTAGGACTGCAGTTTTCTTGCATAGCTCTGCTTTGAATTTGGCAAGAGTTCATTGACCCTTGTCTGTCTCAAAGGCTCTTGGACTCAGATAACCATTTTGAACTTGTTTCTAATAAATTTTCAGGCCTACCACAATGAAGCAGTTCCAGTATCCCCATTGCTTTTTTTTTTTTTTTTCTTCTTTAAAGGTCAAATGGACCCAAGTATCTATCAGAGACAGTGTAGTTGCAGATACCATTGCATGAAAACATAGGAATGTGATAGATGTTCTCAAAGCTCCTTCCAGCTCTTTATTTCTAGAATCAGAAAGTTGGATGATTTTATACATTTTTCAGCATAGGTCTACATCTATAGTTAATTAGGCAACATATTGTTCCCCTTGACTTTATGTTTAGCAAGATTAAGTTATAGTAAGAGGAAATGATTTGAAGAAAATATGCATACTGTGAAGAGCAGATGTAACAAAATCTGTTTTCTTGCAGCCTTGTATTCTCTGTCCCATTACCATCATTTTTTTCCACACAGGAATTCCATCCTTCTTGCTCCATGTTTCTTATGATATTGTCTAAATAGGAGACATTTTTGGCTATTCCAGAGTTACATATGGGCTGACTGGCTGACAGTCAGTATGTGTGTACCGAGTCTGTCTGGCAGCTGACAAACAATGTATAACAGCTAAATTCAAGTACTGGCAGTGAAAGGCAGTGGGGAAGGAGGACTAGGGTAGACAGCATAGTCCTGGAATTATGTTTTAGGTTACTTGGATTACTTTCCAGTATTTTATAATAAAATACATACTTTATGTCCTGTCTTTCTTTTCCCTCCACAGGAACTGCTAGTTTAGAGCATGAGGAAGATGAATCAAAGGAAGCAGAGTAATTGTATACAACTAAAGATTAAGACTCTAAAAAAGAAAATTCCAGAGTAAATCATTGAGTAAACTTGCAATATTTTTATTCATAAAAGACTGAGTTAAGATACTTTGAATAAACATTTCTGTTACTGTTCTGTCTGAAATATATATCCCTGAAAATTTTATGATCCTGGACTGTGCAGTCTCACAACAACTTTCTTTATTCCATGTAGCAGGTAGTCAGTTGTTGAATTTAGTATGAGATTATTCTGGATTCATGAAATTGTGTCCTCACAAATTTGCAGAAGCAAACTTAATCTTCTTCCACTACTGCTAGTTCTTCTTTTCCTTGAATCCTTCCTCTGAGCACAGACACCTGGGGGTCTTGCTTATGAAGACAAAGGCAGCACTGGCCTTCCAGTGCTATCTCTGTATCCCCTGTCACTAGACCACTGATTACAGGCCTACATTTTCCTTGCCTTTTTTTTTTTTTTTTTTTTTTTTTTTCTTGTAGCTGTAGAAGCTATTCTTGTTGCCCTAAATGGGCCAGTTTGGACTGAAACTGAATTTTGCTTTCCTAACACACAGGTGCACTGTTTTAAAATTCTTTCTTTGTAGTCTGTTTTTGCTCCCACTTTCTGTATACTGCTTTTGTGTGTGTGTGTGTGTGTGTGTTGCAGCTCAGTCCCAGATTTCTTGTTAACCATGTGGCCTTCCTTAAGCTGTTTAAAGGAGACTGTCAACTGATCAGGGTGAGAAAGTGGATCTGTAACAAATTCCCAATGCTATGCCATACTGAACACTCTCACTGACCCACAAGCTCTCAACCAGCATGCTGTCCATAGTATAAAAGAGCTCCATGCATTCAAGCTACTTCTTCACATAAAGGAAAACTCTCCTTGTTTTCCCTTTCTGTCTTTACTAAGCCCTTCGTTCATTGGAGAGCTCCACTTGTGTGAGCTGTTCCATCATGTTTCAGTTTTTCCAGGGATGTCACAGTTCTGCGTGTGCACTCAGAGCAGTTCCTAGCTCCTCCTTTTTGTTTCCCTGGATCCATTTGTTTATATATACTCAAGGTATATGTCCTTGGACACACAGCACCTGAATCACTACACACCTCACAGGGGAGGAACCCATCACCCCCAGCCCCATGAGAGGCTTGGACACCAGGATGTTGTGCCTGTCACCACTGACATGCCAAGGGTACTTTTTTTCACTGGTGCTGGAAATCAGGCTCAGTAGAGCATCAACACTGGTTTTGCACAGTCCCACGCTGTTTGGAGGAGAGTGTCTGCCTTTCCCCAGCACAAACACAAATTTCCAAAAGCTCTGCTTGTTATATTCCCATCTCCCAGCTGAATAAGCATCCCTACACAGCAGACAAGCAGTCCAGCACTCCCTAATCAGCAGTTAACTACTGAACATACAGCTCCTTTTAAATCAAGAACCTGTCAATCAGGAAGCAGCCAGCAGGAGACAACAGCTGCAGAAGGCCCCTAGAAGCTACCAGAATCAAATGACATTATATAAATAGTAAGTTAAAAGTACAGAGCAAGGCAGAGCTGCACAAAGTTTTGTACATGCACTAAATGCCACAGACAGATATTTTCTCCTCTTCTGCAGGTGAATAAAGCTGCTCTGAAACAATTTTTCCTGATAATATGTAAGAAATACATTAATTATTAACATATGTATCTGTCTGACTTTACTTGACTCTCATACTGTGGAAATGTTGGTGCAAATATTGATGAGCCTGGAGCCTGAGGTAGAGAGTTGCCAGCTAGTAGCAGTTTGGTTTTGGAGTAAAATGACTGGGTTTGGCCCAGTTGGGATAAGGGATGTTGTACTGATATTGCTGAAACAGGACTCACATTTTCTTATTATTCACCTCAGAGAAGGAAATCTATACTAAAATTTTAGGTTTTGGAAAAAGACAGAAAACGTTTTAACAAATTCATTTTTTCTACAAGTCACAATTTCAGCAAAGGAATGTCAGAAGTTTGAAAGTCAGTCATAAAAATGGATTAACAGAAAGTAAAGGAAACTAGTCATATGAAATAAATCGTCTGTTACTTCTTCTCTGCAATTTTTCTTCTATCAGAAATGTCATAGTGAGAAAATTCCCATGCAATCTTTCCCCTCCTATCTAGGTGGCATTCTGTCTGCAGTTTCTTGTCACTTCAGTGAACACTTTTAGACGTGGTTATCTTTTCTTGGTTTTGCTTTCTTTGGCAGAGAAGTGCTGCATTTCCATTATTAGTGTAGCTAGATCAAAACAAACTTGGCTTGCTAATGTTGGGGTTTTTTTTTGTCTTTTTATAAAATACTAAAAATAATTTGTTTACTTGCTAGTTTTAATATATTCTACTGCAAATTTGAGAAATAGCTGCACAACATATTTCCCAACTCACTTGCATTTTAAAGTAATCTTCAGGTCAAACTGAGTTCATTTCTGGATAATTTATAATACCTTTTCCCCTGCAGTACTGTGCTGTTTATTAGTTCATGAGTGACCTCCAGTGGTACACCTGCAAGAAAAAAAAAAAAAAAAAAAAAAAAAACTGGAATGTAACAAAGGAACACTAAGAACACCTGGAAGTCTCTCATGTGTTACAAAGTGCTCCTGAGAAGATGTCTTGCTCCCGTTGGAGATCACCAGTGCTTTTCTTGGGGGAGACATTTTATTTCACTGTATTTTCCAGAAATACCTTAAGGATAATTTGGAAACTACTTAATAGTGTTTCCTTTATTCCTATCTTGAAGAGGGAGGAACACCTGCCAAAACTTGTTGCACAAAGGTGTGCTAAGCCTCTCTCAATCCTTCTGCCTCTTTTCAGTAACGAAGAAAGACAATGTTAGATAGTACTAGGGCAGTAATTTTCCAGACCTCTTCCTAAAGGTAAAAAAATGTGCTGAATGCAAGGGTATGATGTTGGACTTAGGGCTTTGAAGCTTTCCCTCCAGCTGTTCATCCTTAGATTATCACTCTGGTGTCCAAATTACTTACTTCAAAAATGGTATTTTTTGAAAATACCAGACCATTTTAACCTATGCATCTAATATTGGTTTAGGTGCCCAGCTTTTTGCCTTTAAATCATAGAATCATAGGATTACTTGGGTTGGAAGGGACCTTTAAAGATCTTCTCATCCAACCTGCCTGCCATGGGCAGGGACATCTTTCAGTAGATCAGGTTGCTCAAAGTCCTGTCCAACCTGACTGCAGTATATCAGTGACATGTAAGTCATTATGAGTTTGAGGTTAATTTTCTCCCACATATAAAGCTGTGTATGAAAAAAAAGTGGTGCTGAGAGTATCTATGCTACATGTTTTAGAAAAGCATCATATGTGACTTGCAGAGCTACTTCTTACCCAGAGATGGGACTCTTTCCACTGTTGACATGGAAGCTGGTCACAAGACTTCATTGGAACTAAATGAGGCACTTGGGGGGGGTTCTCTCTTCTCATACCATTCTTCTCATACCAAGGTCTTGGAGTGCACCTATTTCCACCTGAAAATGCAAATTAAACCTCTCCAGAGAGATGTCCATTTTACATTCACAGATGTTAAGGCAAACACCTGTTTGAGCTTTGCATAAACCACCTGAGACCCCAGCACATGTGTAGTGTAGTTTTGCAACAACAGCATTATGTAAATATAGTAGACAGGCATAAAGGTGGAGACTTCTTGGAAAAAGTATGAATATTCATGTATTTGAGGTATATAAAGGATAAACATTTATTTTAGTGTGTTCATGTTAGGAGGAATGATCCTCCATGCACCTGGAGCCAAATAAAGAATGCCTGCCTTCTGAAACCTCAAACTAGGTCTTAGAGGGTTCTTTTGTGACTTTTGTGACTTTTACCAAATTAGAAATAATGTCAGAAATCAAATGTTAGTGGAAGAAAACAGGTTAAGGAGACATGAAATTTCTTTTATAATTGATTCGACAACTTCCCCACATGTATACCTGCTATGGTTTAACTCCAGTAGGTGGCTAAGCCCCACACAATGGGATCGTGAACAGAAATGAGCAGATTCTCCTTCCTTCAGCTTTTATTGCTGAGCACAGCATCCTATGGTCTGGGATATTCCTTTGGTCAGTTGGGTCCAGCTATCCCAGCTGTGTCTCCTCTGAACTTCTTACACACCTCCAGACTATTTGCTGACAGGGTAGGGTCAGAAGCAGAAATGGCCTTGATGCTGTACAATCACTGTTCAGCAATAGCTAAAACATCCCTGTGTTATCAACACTGTTTTGGTCACAAATCCAAAACAAAACACCCTGCAAGATACTATGAAGAAAATTAACTCCATCCCAGCCAAAACCAGTACAGTATCTCAAAAAGTGACATCCCTTGAAAAGGTCTTTGGTAACCTGCCTTGTTCAGCCTTGTAGGCCCAGCAAAGAAGTTATTTGTAATCTGCTTCTCTAAGAGACGTAAGGGACGTGACTAGACTCTGTAAAGGTATGCAGCCCTCACATCCCTGTGTTAACTCTTACATTCATCCAACACAGTGAAGTGCTTTACAGGTTCAGGATCCCAAAGTTGTAGCCACGCTGGCACAATGCTGTGCCTGAGCTAACAGGCACCATGAGTAACTAAGGTAAAAAACACCAGTGCTGCTCTGTGCCGAGAGCATCTCTCCAGGTGTGGCACGAACACAAAGACCTCTGCATGAAGTGCTGCTGAGCTGTGAGGGCAAGTGAAGTGAGAAACTACAGGGCAGATGCAGGTGTCTGTGCATTTGAACCCTGAAGAAAAACACAAAGGACCACAGAGTCTGAAGTTTTGTTGTGTGCATGAAGTGGGTAACAAAGCCATAAAAGAGATTTACATGTGCGTTCCTTAGTCTTCTGCCTGGAGTACACAGCTTGGTTCCATTCCTGCAGGCAATGTGACTCAAAGTTTGTGACTCATTTACCAACCCACACAATCACAGCGGTTTTCACTGACAGAGGTATCTCCACAAACGACTCTTTAGAGTTTTTTTAAATAGCACACTTGTTGTCATGTGCTGGAGCAGTTTCTGAACCATCCTCAAGTACAGTGATGTACCAGCTGATTTTAAACTGAGCACAACAGCACATAGTAAATTAACAAATT